AACAACAACACAAGTTTGACCCCATGGGAATTCCAGGAGTGTTCGCTGGATACTCTATCGGTCCCGGGCTCCATTGGTCGAGAAAGTACAGGGTATGGGCATTATGTGATTGGAGTAAACAGAACTTGGCTTATGACGCTGAGAAACCCATTGCCAAATTGAGGACTCCGCACTACACAGAAAGGGTAGAACTAAAAGAACCTCTTGAATTCCCATGCAAGTCAGAGTATGAAAGGATTAATGTTTCCATTGAGGGACTAAAAGTAAAAGATCGTCTTGAAGGAAACCCTGAAATCCTACCGCCACCTCCTCCGGATGATGGTGATGATGATGAAGATGGAGGTGATGACGATGGTCATGGTGGTGGTGGTGTACCTTCGTCGAGGGTCCCACAAGAAAAGACGGAAGGGGAGTTGGAAGCTGAAAGACTCCTTGGTGAAGTATCTGAAAGAATGGGACCACCGGGTATCGACAAGCCCGCACATCCAGACCTTCATGTTCCAAAAGGAGGGCCAGAACACTACTCCATTGGGAAGGCCGGGGATGGGGTCGTATACCTGAATGACGATGGTGAATGGGTGAAGCTCAATGCTCGCGGTCATCCATATCGTATTGACGAACGTGGTTTTCGCAGAATATCAACTACTCCTAGGCCATCAAAATATACCCCTGACGAGTGGAGGAAGATGTCACCGACCGTCAGAAAGGGCGTCGCCAAGGCCGAAGAGAAGAAGGTTGAAGCTGAAGAAGAAAAGAAGAAGAGCGAGGCGAAAATCAAGGAAAGTGAAGAGCGAGCAAAGAGAAAAGAAGAAAAGAAGAAAGAAAAAGAAGCCAAGAAAGCCAAATCTTCCAAGAAAGACGACAAAGATGATCATGTTTCTGGAGTAGCCATGTCCCAAGACTACGTCCGAAGGGGCAAAGTTTTTCAATATGGTAAAGGGTCCACTTCTCTCGTCGGGAGAGGGATTCCTGCCACTGCTCCATGCAATTCTGATCTATCAGACACTGATGTACCTGATGATGATGACTTCTTGATGGAGTGGGACGAATGGTCTGAGATCGAGAATGGCAAGGGGCCGAAGGCTACTTGGAACAATGACAAAGTGTATGACTTCAACCAGGGGAAAGTGGTGGCTGCTGCGACCTTGCACAACACCGACGAAGTACCCCAAGACGCTCGTGGCCTCAGTGATGTTTTCCATCCATTTCCATGCATGCCATGCATTAATCATTGTGATGATCATCGAGAAAAGATAGTATCAAATGGTGATGGAATCAATATCAACAAGATGTTCAACACTGCAGTCGCAAGGCCTGTTGGTCGAAAGGAAATGATGGAAAACGATGAAGCACGTAAGGCCATGAGGAAGGAATGGTTAGGTCAACATGCTGCTGGAGTCTATGATTTCAGTGTTATAAGGGAATATGATGACGTTGTTCGAGAGGCAAAAGCAAACAAGACAGAGGTTCACATGGCCAGAGTACATGGAATTTGTGTTGAGAAGAACTACCAGTTACCTGCAGGAAGCCCTAGTAGAAAGTTCAAAGGCCGAGGTGTCTTACTTGGTAATCAGGTGAAGAACCAATTCTGGGAGGCTGCTTTCTTTCAGGACTTGGGCAATTCTCCAGCTACTTTTGAGGCATCGAGATGGGCTGATTTCTATGGGTGTCTTCCAGGCCATAATGTAAAACTTGCCGACGCTATTCAAGCATACATTCAGGCAAAACTAACCGGACCACCATGTTGGGTTGAGCTACCCGAAGATGCTTGGCCAGACGATGTCGATATTCGAAAATTCCGTAGGCCAGTTGTAAGATTGGTTAAAGCTTTGTATGGCCACCCCGATTCGGGAACAATGTGGGAACAACATTGTGATCGGAAAGTTCGAGAACTCGACTTCGTTCCTGTTGGAGAAGAATGGCCTTCTATGTATTTTCATAAGAAACTGAAGCTACTTCTTGTCATCTATGTAGACGACTTAAAGCTGGCAGGACCGGAAGAGAACCTGACTAAGGGTTGGGAGATGCTCAGATCAAAACTCAACATCGAGCCCGAGACTGACTTGGGGCTCTACCTTGGTTGTGTTTTGAGAAAGGGATCTACCAAACTTCATGATGGTACCCCGGTATCAACCATGACCTATGACATGGAAGGTTTGTTGAAACTGTCGGTTGAGAAGTACTTGGACATTGTTGGAAAAGATACGAAGCTGAAACACGTATCCACTCCAAGCTTACCTGAAGAAACAAAGAAACATAAGTCGAGAGCACCATGTCCCGGGAACCCCAAGAATAAGAAAGTATGTCCATGGTGTACTCATGAATTTGATCCGGACGCTCCATTGTTTTATGAACAAGGGAACCCAAGGGGAAGACGTCTCGCCTGGGGAGTCTGAGAGAGGTGCATTAGCGCCACACGCTGCCAGCGTGTTGATGAAGCTGCTGTACGCGGCGAGGATTGCTCGTTTCGATCTGCTTCGTTCCATTAATTCCCTGGCCAGGAATGTAACAAAGTGGACCATTGATGACGATGCAAAGTTGTATCACTTGATGTGCTACGTGAATTCCAGCCTATCTAAAAGAATGACCGGATGGGTTGGGGACAACTTCAATGAGTTGACATTGTCTTTATTCGCTGATGCTGATTTTGCAGGGTGTGCCCAGTCTTTGAGATCTACTTCAGGGTCTCATATGCATATTCAGGGTAACCACACACGGTTTCCTTTGTCCGGGGGCAGCAAACGGCAAGGATGCGTAAGCCATTCAACGCCTGAGGCTGAAATCGTGGCAGCCGATGTCACCCTCCGTACTATGGGTTTGCCCGCTATGAGCATTTGGGAAACGCTGACGGGAAAGTCGCCCAAATTATTGTTCCATGATGACAATCAGGGCATGATAGGTGTAGTCAGGTCGGGTCGTAACCCCACTATGCGGCATCTTGAGAGGACCCATGGCATAGCCATTACCTCCCTCCATGAACATTTTACTCGGGAGAACTACGTACTCATGTATGAGGTGACCTCGAAAATGGCCGCTGACATTCACACCAAAGGTTTCAAGAATCCGTTGGCATGGAAAAGAGCATGTATGCTCATCAATCTGTTGGACCCTGGTGACATCGGTACGAAAGATCTGCTCGATATGGTCTCACCCACCACGGATGTCGATACCACTGTCCGACAAGTGTTTCAAACCAAAACTCAAGATGTTCCAAATTTTCCATATACCGAAATACCTATTCTACCACCTGAGGTGTATCAGAAGGGTCTTTCTGGTAAAGAACAAGTACAACAACTACCTGGCATGGATCCCATACTGGTTGTTAAGACGCCAACCTTCTTTAGAAAACGACCACCTGGTGTATCATTGCCCCATGACTGTTTGAGAAGTACCTGGATACTTTCTCATGGCAAATGGATCAAGGTTGAGGATCGAGTTCCACCCGTTCAGCAACAAGACCGTTTCGATCAATGGGTAGAACGAGCTTGTTTCCAATACCATCCGTGTCAACCTAGTATATCGCCGTCGGTGATTACTAGGCAATCAGCCGGCATTGTCTCACCGGGACACCCGGCGTCAACAGCGCGACAAGGGCTCCATGCTGCCGCGGTGCCGACTCGTCAGACTCCAGTCCTGAAGTATCCTCAGTTAACTGTGGGGGTGGGTCAACTATTTTGTCATCAATCCCATGGAAATGAACCCACAACCATTCATGCAGCTCCTTGTGGTACTGCTCGGGTGATCAACACGCTTCTTCGAGTTGTTCATGGGGGGAGTTCTGGATGGGGTAGTCTTCCAATGGGATTTCCTCCGTCGGGGGACCCCAATGATGATCCATATCCTACAGAAAACAAAGATCCCAATCGACGACGAATTATCTTTGCCGGTGGTGATGTAATTGCTGGTAGAGTGTCAAGGGACAAAGCTTATAACCCCATGACTTCGTCAAGGAAAGGAAAGAAGATATCCAAAAGTGAATGTGATCAAGACGAATGGATATGGAAGGACGAAACTACATTGACGAGAGTGCACAAGGTACCGAGAAGAAAGATGTTTACCCCCAAAGAGGCTGACTTCCTACCTTGTAAGCTGAGACGGTTTAAAGATGAACGGGAAACCAACCAAGTGTTTCAGTCAAGTGGGAGGTTAATCCACGACTCATGGAGATTGGCGGGGAATAACATCGAGAAGACCAATAAAAGAAATGAATTTTGGACAGGGACCACTACCTTCAAGATCATATCCAACGCAGACATCAAAGATGTGATGGACAGCGGGTCTGATGTGGAGGACAGGGCATCGTGCCAGGACACTGTGGTCACCTGTATCCTTGATGGAAACATGAAAATCATTCCTTTGGATGACATGTTTATAGCCCATCATTACAAGCTGAAGCATGAGACCAGAATACAAAATGATTGGGATATTCAGATGACACTCCACCGAAAGAATGGGAAGACTCTGACGTACCATTTCAAGCAATCTTATGCTGATTTTCTCGGAAAAGTACTCGATGACATTGTCATATCACTCAACCTCTATGAGATGAAAGATGATGTCCCATGTTTGCTCCTCATGTGTGCTGAAACGCAAAGTATCATCACAAAGATTCACAGACAAAGTCGGTTCAAGATGATGCATGTGGTCACAATTACCGAAGATGACAACCTGATGTCCAACTTCGGAAGGGCGAAATGGAGACGTTGCATCAGGGGTCCTAGTGACTGCGTGTTCTTTGCGGGACCTTGCACCGGTGGTTCACCGTGGAATCGTTTGAACAAAAACGTGAGTGAGGTCACAGCACACAACATCAGAATGAAAGCGTTTCTGTCATGAAACACCACTGGACACCATGTGAACAATTGACCAAAGGGACATTGCATTTCATTTTGCTTTTGCCGCCTGACTGGTGGCTCAAGGACGCATGCTGCGCCATAGACGAAAAGGCCGAGAGTTCAGGGTAGTGTGCCCACTTGTCACTTCAGTTGGTAACCGGAGCCATGGCTAGTGGTTCGGGGCCACATCCTGACCATGGCCGTGGCGAAGGCGATGGCGATGCTCCTGAACCTGAGGACCAGCCGCGAGCCGGTCGAGCTTGGTATGGGGCTGGGCGAAGTGCAGCGGATGGCGATGGAAGCGCTACTGCGTCTGGTGAGCATGGACCGCAGAATGGGGTCGCGGGGCATCAGCACCAGACCAGTGGCGCAGAGGAAGGAGATCCACTACAAGTTCAAGACCCTTGGGTGCCAGCAGGGCGCTCAACAGCTGCACAGGACTCAGGTCTAGTTAGAGAAGAAGCCGCGACTTGGCAGACTAGGTCGTGGGATAGCACGTGGAACCATGACCAATGGGGGGCGCATGACTGGTCAGCTGGTGGTTGGAGAGGTTCCGATTGGCGATGGGATCAATGGGGTAGTCCTTTCAACACCAAGCCTGACATGCTAGACCCTCCCACTTGGCCAGGGTGGAGTCACCGGCGCCTGTGGATACAGTCCATCCGCAGGTGGAACAAGCAGACAGACATCCCCTTGCACAGGAGAGCTGATCGCGTTCTCAGGTCTCTTGGTTGGGATCTGCAGAGCGACTTCGAACACTTGGATGATGAGGTGCTCTCCTCCACCCTCTACTTGGAGGCCATCATCGAGGTGATGAACGCCAAAGCTGGGGTTCGTGAGGACGATGAGAAGCGCCGAGCATATCGGCAGGCCATCTCTGAGAATCAGAGACTTCGAGAGGAGTCCTTGGCACAGTATGCAATTCGCAGACAGAAGGACTTCAGGAACGCGGCCAACTATGGGGTGGTCATCCCGAACTCTCTGAAGGCGATGTTGCTGAAGGAAGGTGCGGGGTTGTCCGACCAAAATCAGCAGAATCTCACGGCTCTGCTTCAAGGCAATGATGAGGACCCAGACTTAGTTGCCAGATGTCTCAGTCGCATGGATGTGCGTTCAGATCGGCTGAGCGCTTACGTGGATGATGCTGCTCGGGAACCATCCTACTTGGCTGACACCGATGCCGCTAGTGAGGATGACGACGTTTTTGAGAATGAGGAGGTCCTGCAAGAGTTGGACAAGATGGAGTTGAATGAGGACCAGATTTGTGAGGTCTTCGCCGTCTTGGAGCGCAAGAGATCATGGAAGGAGAACAAGCTCTTCAAAGCGGACATTCGAAAAGATCGTGGCAGCTTCATCAAGGATGGCAACAATGGCTATCCCCGTGGTCAAGCTGGAGGGCCCCCTGCCGGAGGCGTAGCTGGCAGGAATCCTTCCCGCCAGGGTTTCAATCGTGATCAGTTGAAGAAGATCTCCAGGTGTCGTCTTTGCCAGAAGAAAGGACACTGGGCTGCTGAATGTCCGTCCAAGAAGGGCGCTGGTGGAGCTACGGCCTTTGCCTACTGCAGTGCCAGCGCTGACGTGTCGAGATCGGCTTTTACCTTCTTGTCAGTGATGGAGGTCCGACAAGCCATTCGTCAAGTGCTTTACGGAGATGATCAGCATGGTGACGGAGGTTGGGCCTTTCTGACCTTAGATGGGGGTGAGGCTGTTCTGGACATCGGCGCCACTCAAGATCTCATAGGGCTGTCTGCCCTTGAAGATTTGACCAAGGAGCTCAAGAAGGTGGGACTGAAGCCTGTGAAAATTGACAAGCCCGTCAGCACACCGACAGGCATTGGTGGATCAGCTCGGGCGCTCTATGCGGTGCTGCTCCCAATCTCACCGGGCGGCATTCCGGGAATTCTGGAGATGACAGTCTTGGAGGGAAATGTGCCGCCCTTGCTGTCAGTAGGGTTCCTAGACTTTCTCAAGGCGTCCATTGACCTTTCTGAGGACAAGCTAGTGCTGCGAACTTTGAACCTGGAGCTGCCCATGAACAAGATCTCAACTGGTCACCGCACTATCTCCTTGGTCAAGTGGAAGGGTGGTGATTTTCCCATTCCGGATGACGTGCAGGAGAAGTACGGCTTGCCAGAACATGCTTTCAACATTTCAGCTTCAGCCTTTTGTGCGTATCCAAAAAGTGCTGCTGCCGAGTTTGTCCGTCCACAACATGAAGAACCAATTCAGGGAAGTATTTCAAAGTTTTCCTTTTCACATGAGCCCAACATTTTCAGTGATTTTCACACTCCGCAAGCGATCAACTTTGTGACGGACAGAGCAGATTCAGCGACATGTTGCTCAGCGGTGCAAACTCATCCAGTATTTCCAGGTGTAGAATCTGTTGAGAATTCATTTCAAGGTGATAGAGGTGTAGCACATTTGGCACAATCTTTTGAGAGTTCAGAGTTGCGGCATGATCAAATTTGTCATGGAGAACACTCACAAACCAGATCTTTGGCATGTTCACAAACCAGATCTTTGGCATGTGAGCAGCGTGATGATGTATATCAAGAACCAGAGCTGCGCTGCTCAAGCAATTCGATGGGCAGTTCACTCTGCCCTCACAGATCAGCCTCCAGCGCCACTGATGGAGAGCACTCGCGACTCTCGTGCCGCGCGCGGATGGCATCAACTGCTGAGCGCGATGAGCGCACAGCTGGAGACCAACCGGGTGGCCTACAAGAACCTGGCTCGTGCAGAGCTTCGGACCAAGTTCGCTCCTGGGATGAAGTTGCTGATGCACGAGGGACACACAGTGGGAGGGTGTCTTCATCCTTCCGATGCCTTGATCAACCGGTCCAACCAATATGCAAGATGGACAGTGTGTCCGAAATGTCAGGCCAGAGTGTGGTACCAGTCCCTGCGTCGGGGGAGGAGCTCAGCCCAGAGCTCGGTCCAGAGCGCTGCAACGACACCACCGATCGAGCCCATGTACCACACTCCGAAGGCACCACCTGTGGCACCTGGCAGAACAGCCGCGACACTGACGGCCTTGAATCCCACGGAGGAGACTCACCAGGTCCTGGAGGCTGCGATGTTGAGCTTCCAGAATCAAGGGGCACAGATGAGCATGGCGATGCAACAGGTCGGCCAGTCCCTGGAGGAGCTGGCGCGTGGGCAGGCTCAGATGCTGAACATGATGCAGCCAAACCTGACACCGGCTCCGAAGCCCGCTGCCACTCCGACACCGTCCCTGCACGAGAGCTTTCACCTGGATGCACCAGAGGCGGTAGCATGGTCGGATGTGGAGTTGGAAGGGTCCAGTCCGGGCTCAATGTTCAATCCGAACGAGATGATGCCCAACTACGACAACAACAACCACGACCCTGGCCGACATGGATGGTAAGGACTGGGACCATTGCCACAGCTGCCTTACTCACCTGGCATCAATGTTCCCCTGACTTTCAAGATCAACTCCACGGTTTGGGGTTTGAGCGTGAGGAATGCTACATCTTCAAGTATGACCTTGGCGTGGATCATCCAGCATGCCCTGACTATAAGGTTGTTCCTGGTGCGAACGATCAACGACACTCCACAGAATGCCCTGGTCTTGAAGTATGTCCTGACTATGAAGTCGTTCCTGGTGCGGACGATCGACGGCACTCTCAAGTATGTTCAGGTGATAAAGTATGCCCAGGTGATGCAGTACACCCAGGTGCTACTGAATGTGTTCGACAGCTGATGAGCACAGGGGAAACACAGTTTGTGGACCCGACATCAAGACCCACTTGGGTTCCTCCTTTTGCTCAACATCGACACCAACGCCTGACCAACTGCACCTCCTTGGAATCCGAGGCACTGGGCGATCCCAACTGGTGTACAATCTGGAGACGCGTTGTCACAGAGATGGGAGACATCATAGAAGATAGCCCTGGACCCCATGCAGCATTGGATTTTGCAACACCCCTGGATTTACGGGTGAGCTGCTGGGGCCTGCCCCTGGACTTTGTACGGCTTGCCAACTTCTCAACTCAGGAGGTTCTGCCCCTACGTTTGGACTCTGAGGGTCAGGTCTCCGAGGAGGGCACGTATTGGGCAGTTCACTCAGATTTGTTGAGTGAAGAGGTCATTGGATTTTGGACCGAAGCTTCACATGATGTCTCTTCCAAGGGCGAGATCCACCGATGTGCCCAGAACCTCTGCTTTCTTGCCAAGAACACCACCAATGGGGGCAATCGGCGACTGGACTTTGCCGAGTTGTTCTCACCGCCCAGAGTGTCTCCTTTGGCACAGCAGATGGGTCTGAAGGTGGACGCCAGCGCAGTGTTTGACCTGACGGCTGGGTGGGATGTTCGAAACAAAGAACATCGACGACGTTTCCGCACATTTCAGAGCGAGAGACGTCCCAAGACATTGATGGCCTCACCAGAGTGCAAGGCCTTCTCTCCGCTGCAGAACATCAACAAGGAGAGGTTAGACCCAGAATATCTTCGCAAGATCCTGACTGAGGGCCAGTTGATGTGGGACTACAGTCTGGAAGCTGTGAACACCCAGACCGTCAATGACGACTATTTTGGACTGGAACATCCAGAGAGGGCTTCATCTTGGAAATTGCCACAAACACAACGTCTCCTACGCAGACCTGATGTTGCAGTCATCATCTTCGATCAATGTGCTCTTGGTCTCACGGTAGTTCCAGATGGCATGCTCTCACGGAAGACCACCAGGATTGCTACCAATAACCCATGGCTGGCGAAGAGACTGCTACAGGCTCAATGCGTTGGAGGGCACCCTCATCGACAGCTCATTGGTGGTCTCCCAGCACTAGCTCAAGAATACCCACCAGCTCTATGCCAGTGCATCGCAGAGAGCGCTCGTGACGCAGCCCTGGGACTATCTCCTCCCTCCTTTGTGACAGAGCCCACAGTCTCAGATGAGCCGTCATGGAATTTTCCAACACTTGCTGAAGGAGAAGAAGGAGAAGAAGAGAATGAGCCAGCGGTGGCTGAACCAGTCACCAGTGGAACCATCCCGGTTGTGACCGAGGCACAGAAACGACTGGTGCGTCGAGTTCACATCAACACGGGTCATCCTCCTCGTGACCGCCTCCTACGAGCCCTACGAGCTGCAGGAGCACTACCACAGGTCTTGCATTATGTTCAGCATGACTTCGACTGCGAGATCTGTCAGTCGAGAAGCGGACCTGATGTCCGGCGCAAGGCTCAACTTCCCAAGACTTACTCCTTCAACAAGGTTCTCTGCGTGGACTTCTTCTATGTGAAATGGCGAGAACATCAGATCGCAGTTCTCAACATGGTGGACCTCGGAAGCGGCTATCAAGTTGCTGTGCGCGCTCCTGTTGCTGAAGGAACTCATGGTGGAACTCCAACATCAGAGATGGCATGGCGTCTCCTCTTGACGACATGGATCCGACACTATGGAGCTCCTCAACTTATACTCTGTGACGCCGGCAACGAATTCCGAGGCTTCTTTGAGCGCAGTCTTGAGAACATGGGCATTTTCCAACATGTGATACACCCGGAGAGCCCCTGGGAGAACGGCAAGTGTGAGAGGCATGGTGGATGGCTGAAGAGCAAGATCGACCGCGAGCTCACCAGTGGCCGAAGTGTGGTCCAGACCTTGGAAGACCTGGATGAGCTCCTGAGCTCTCTGACCACCACGAAGAACACCTGGCTCAACAAGGGAGGCTTCACCCCCTATCAACTGGTGTTCGGCTCATTGCCGAGAATTCCAGGTGAGCTGCTGGCCGATGATGAGTTGGCACAACATGGCATGAGGGACGCCTTTGAGGATCCCATGGAAGTCGATGAAGCTGCAGGCGAGTATCGCCGTCGGCATCAGATTCGAGAACGAGCACGCCAGCTGGCCATGCAGCAGGACTCCACCGATGCCATCAAGGCAGCCACCAAGGCCGCACCACATCAAGATCGGCCCTGGCGACCTGGGCAGTGGGTCTATGTCTTCCGCAGGGCCAGAGCGAATCAAGAGCTTCACCTGAGAGATCGATGGGTAGGCCCTGGCATTGTGGTTCTGGTCAATAACAGCACGGTGTACGTTGGCATGAGATCAAGATTGTGGAGGTGCTCAGCGGAACAACTTCGGCCAGCCCTGTCCAGCGAGATTCTGGGGAAAGATCTGGCCTCAGATCCTGCATTGAGCACTCTCTTGAGACAGGTCATCTCGGGGCAACGAGCTGGAGCAGTAGATGTTGCACGAGAAGGACCACCACCTGGAGGTTCTGGATGTGAGCCAGTTGAGCGAGCAGATGGCGTTCAACTGGCGGATCAACCACTACATGGTCCCCTCAGGCCACATGACCATCTTCCTCAACAAGCCCCGCAGGAAGTCCTGCCTGTTCCTCCTGGTCTTTCTCCACACGTTCCACTATTACCTCCAGCACCTGTGCAGAGCACACCATCCTCCAGAAGATCATCAACCCGAGAGCCAGCCAGTGAACCTGGGGCAGTCATCAGCCCAAACAATGTTCCACAAAGAGGTCAAGAACATGCAGAACCACAGCTTCCTCCAATTCCAGAGCAAGACACCAGAGATGAACGCTCAGATGACGATGCATCATCTGGCGAACCTCTCTCAAAGGCACCAAGACTGACAAGTCCTCAGATGAGGAGTTCCGATTCAAGCTCATCAGCCATGCCGGCTCATGAGGAGGCCACAACAACCAGGGCACCTGGGACTCCGATCCGTGGACTTTTGGATCGAGTTCTCCGAAGCCCGAGAAGAGAGAGAAGCCCGAGAAGAGATTCAACAACAACGCTGACACCAGTTGAGCACATTGACTCAACCAACCGCGTTGCTCAGCAGATCAGAGAGTTTGACCACATGTCTCTTCCTCAAGAGTCTTCAGATCAAGCTGCCACTGAGTCGGTCACGTTTTGGAATTTTCTATCTGGGCTTCCTCAGACCGACAAGAAGCGCAATGATGAGATCTCATTGAAGGAACTCAGCGCTGAAGAGAAGAAGCTGTTTGAGGAGTCCGACCGGCTAGAGTGGGAAGCCATCCTTCAGACCAAAGCCGTGCACGTCATTTATGGCGAAGAGGCGCAGAAGATCAGGCAGCAGTTTTCAGATCGGATCGTCTCTTCACGCATGGTGAGGCGCAAGAAGCCGCAACCTCTTCTACACAGCTGGAAGGCCAAGTCAAGATGGTGCTTGCATGGGCATACTGACCCTGACACGGGGCTACTGGTCACCTACGCTCCCACACCACAGACGGAAGGCATCATGCTCTTCCTGCAGACAGCGATCAACCATCAAATGACCATTGCCTTTGCCGATGTGAAGAATGCGTTCTGTCAGAGTAGGCCAATGAAGCGACAGCGAGGACCAATCTTCGCTGAGCCTTGTCCAGGATTGCCACTGCCACCTGGAGCACTTATTTCCATTGACGTGCCAGTGTATGGACTGGACGACGCTCCAGCTGAATGGCGAGCCACCGTCTCCGACTTCACCGTGAAGGACTTGAAGGCAGAGAGGAACGTGGTCGAACCATGCTGGTACTCCATCTTTGAGCCCAAGACTCGTCGTCTTCTGGGTCAGATTTTGGTGGAGGTGGATGATTTTATCATTGCAGCTCTTCCAGAGCACTACGACAAGCTGCAGAAACAGATGCAGGATCGTTTTACCTTTGGCAAGTGGGAGGTCAATGAGGCCGAATTTGCGGGCAGACACATACGTTGCACGCCTGAAGCCATTTACATTGACCAGCACAAGTACATTCAAGAACAAGTGCATCCCATCGCCTTGCCGAAGGGTAGAAGGCAGCAAGCGAAGGAGTCAGTGAGCGATGATGAGTTCACGGCGCTCCGATCACTCATCTACCGCATCAACTGGGTTGGCAGAGAGACCCGCCCTGAAGCAGCTGGCCTAGCCTCGATCATGGCATCCAAGCTCAAGCACGCCAAAGTAGAAGACATCCTTGTGGTGAACAAGTTTGTCAACTACCTGCGATCTACGTCAGACCGGGCGATCAAGATCTGGGCCTTTGATCCCCGAGAAATGGCATTTGTCGTCTTCTCAGATGCGGGTGGGATCAACACCAAGGGTTCCAACTTGTTGGATGAAGAAGGCCTTCCAACAGATTCAACACAGGGTGCTTGGCTTGTTTTAGCGACTGAGAGGCTGCCACATGGCAGACAGAAGGTGAGAGCAACACCTCTGGCATGGAGGAGCAGCAAGTTGAAAAGAAAGGTCTTCTCCACCTACGGTGGCGAGACTCAATCCATGTTGCAGGGTGTCAGTGAGGTTGACTGGCTCCAAGTGATGTATCGGGATGCGACGGCACACGATGTAGCTCTCTCAAACTGGCGTTGCTCATTGTCCCCACACATGCTTGTTATGAAGGGAGATTGTGAACTTGGAGGGCGTCAACAGCAGTGCTCAGTGACTGACGCCAAATCGCTGTATGACTGTTTGCTGCGTGAGAATCCATCCGGTAAGCAGGATCGAAAATCCGCATTAGAACTTGCAATTGTCCTCAGGGATCTTCAAGAAACCAAGTCCATGGTGCGCTGGGTTCCCCACCAAAAGATGTTGGTTGATGGATTGACCAAAGAAGATCCCCTGAAGGCAAGTGACGCGTTGCATCAGTTTCTCAAGTCCGGAGTTTTGAGCCTTGTAGATGTCACTTCAGAGCTGGAATGTAGGAAATCAGATCCACTTTACCGTAGGCGTAGCAATCAAGCCAGCCGTGAGAGGTTGCTGAGCGAGTACAGGGAGAATTATCTCCAATTCCTGACCCCTTTGGTCAACATTGTTTGGGGGGACTGTCATGAAACACCACTGGACACCATGTGAACAATTGACCAAAGGGACATTGCATTTCATTTTGCTTTTGCCGCCTGACTGGTGGCTCAAGGACGCATGCTGCGCCATAGACGAAAAGGCCGAGAGTTCAGGGTAGTGTGCCCACTTGTCACTTCAGTTTCTGTATTGGGAGTTATGGGAAGAGTTCACATTGTGTCTGCAACGTGTACATGTCTTGCATGCTATGGCATTGTTGGAACTACCTCGGGGATGCGACTATTGGAATGACGAGAGAATGAAGTTTCTGATTAGTGGGACCGAATCAACTGTGCATGACTTTGATGGATGCATGTATGGTTTGACATCAAAATTCAAAGATATTGGGACCGCCATCAAGAAACCATGGAGGATCGTATCGTGGGGGGTCGAGTTCTTTGACTTGCATGCGAAATGTGATGGCTCACACATCCACGGTCAATGTGCGGGTAGAGAAACACGTGCAACACAATTATATACCGAGAAGATTGTCAGATGTATTCTTCGGGGTGTCACAAATCAAATGTTGATCAACAACGCTTATGGAAGGAGATATCGACCAAAGGTATCAGATGAGGTAGATCACCATGAGTCGAAGTCATGTGCATGTGTCATTGTGAATGACTATGAATGCAATGTTAATGAGAAGACCATCAATGAACAACTATTCATTAACTTCATCACCCAACGAGGCGGTGTGAAGGTGAAGCTGAGGCTGTATCCACGTCGTGGATCGCTATTGGTGGATCCGGATCCCGTTAGAGGTAGATTGAAGGTGAAGTTAGGCTGCTACCTGCGTCGTGGGTGCGCCTTGACGGATCCGGATTCTCCTTGCCTCATTTCAGTCTTCGCAATGGCTGGAGTCGACCTTGTGATCCCATCAGCGGCCAAAGGTATTGGTTCACTGAAATCAACTTTGTCCCTCATCAAGGAGAAGAGCCAAGAGCACAACCTTCCCGCTCCATTCTCCACCTACGAGGAGACAAACTTCAGGGGTTGCAGGGACAAGGACATTGACGAATGGTTGAATCGAGTGAAGATTTCTCCTCCCGTCGTTGTGGCCTTAGCCTTTGTCATGGACAGAAGTGGCAGAACATTCGTAACTCATGCAATCAGGTTGCTCATGAAAATGTTGTCAAAAGTGACCAACGAGAATGAGTTGAGGATGTCCGTCACTAGCTTCATTGACAAAGGGGCCCGATTATCAAAGTTGGTGGAAGGGGCCGCCAGAAATCCAGATGAGCAAAGCATCATGCAGCTCTTGTGCACCTTCGAGTGTGCGATTAGAATAGATGAATTATGGGATACCCTCAAAGACCACTACACCAGGCAGAACAGCATGATTAACAAGGAGATCACGGTTAAGGAATTGCGCGACAAGATCGCGAATACAAGCCCAACGAACCTTGGATCCTTGAATCAGACATACCCTCCTTACGGAAGTTCATGTTACCAAATCCGGAAGAGGACGAACTTCGAGGAGATCGCCCGTCGGAAGTGGGAAAGCTGGTCATTCGACGCGATGCGGAGAGAGGAACCTGATCGAAGTGAAGTTGAAAATCGCATCAAGTATCTGGTCAACATCATGTACGAGGAGAGCTATAGCCTCGGCTACGCACTCCGACGCCACAACGCCAGAGCGACCAGCAACCAGGGTAAGACCATCATCGTTCAGAACGTCCTGGAAGACTGGATGTCGATGAGTTATGATCTCAGTTTGGAGCGGACGGCGGCCGTTGTCCATCTGCAAACCATCCTCATGGTTTCCAAGATGTTACATGAGTGGATGACAAGATTGGAGAACTTCACATCCATGTCGTACTTGAGCGGGGTCATCAAGACTGATCTGGTCAGAATGAAGCAGGCCATTGACCTTCGTGACGACCTGTGGGAATTGGGGGGCTACAACATTGAAAGGGCCGACCAGGGCATGTTTGAGGAGGTGGAGAAACGAAACAACACGTTCTCCTGTATTCGCGACTATGTGACGACCACAGCCACCACCCAGATGGGCCAAGGGGCCACGGAAGTCTCCCACATCGATGGCTGGGACATCCCGCTGATGCCGAAAGACGGCAGAAACCCTCCAAGTCAACCAGATCATCCAGCTTGGGATCCGTCACCAATCAGAATGATGAACAACCAGCAGCAAAGGGAAGCCGATGCGCAGCGGGCGCAACAGCAACAACAACAGACTGGACCTAGCAGTTCCACCGCCGGTGGACGCGATGGTTCCAGCTCTGCAGCTGGGAGCGCACCACCACCGAAGGCTCCACCTTCGAAGCCAAGGCCATCGACACCTCCTACCAGAAAGGACTGGGTAATTCCTCGGGTGCCAAATGGGTATCTTTTTAGGACATCCTCAATGCCCGATCAAAGGAATTCAGAGTTCATCACGTCTGCTTGGATGGACGAACGGGACCACTTTCTGCTATCAATTGTCCAAGGCCCCGCAGCTCAGGCTGCCAGTACATCGGGATCAGCACCTTGGGCACAGTATTTGAGGAGAGTGACTGCCTACGCCTGCATGGTCTTCGGAGTCTGCAATCCGGGGGTCGTGACTGAGGACACAGCATCCACGATCTCTGAGAAGGATTGGCTTAGATGCTACAGCCATATCGTCCGCAAGTACATGTTGACGCGGACTGGATGCTACCTGTCAACGGCAGGAATGCTGATGATGCTTGGACACCATGACGTGAACGTCGCCAACCAGTCCGAATTGGGCCGAATCAAGAAGCTGATCACGAACCCGCTTGCATGCAGGATCATTGAAGCACCGAGCGGCCCAAGGGAGGTTGACATGTTGGCCGGTGACTTCAGGGCTGGGACGACCATCCTCATCACTGATTTGATGTTCCGCGTGGGAACCCAAAGTGGGACGCATGGCATTCAAATGGGGTTAACTGACATGGGATGGGAGAGTGTTGAGGTCTTCAAAATCCATGATTCTGAGTTTGAACGACCACTTCAACAATTTCTCGACACGCTTGACAAGGTCAAGCAACATCTCAAAACGGATACCATCGATGATGGCCAGGTAACGGTTCATCTTTGGTTGTCTTTGCAGTTCCTCCATGAACAGAAGCCACCCCACTGTGTAATGCTCGAGAATGATTTCAAGAATCAATTTGTCAAAGGGGTGATTGACCTTGATCAAGTCACATCCCGACCCTTGATGGTCACCATCAACAACGACTCCATGTTCAACGGTGTGGACTCCGTCACATCAAGAATCGCAGTTGAGCTGATCGAGAAGATGAGGCTCCAGGGGATCTTAGTGACGTCCGACCAGAGAATGTGGCGGTCGATGTATTCCCAATATGGAAGACAGTTCTCAGTGTTGAGCACGACCAAAAAGGGGACCCTGGGAAAGACTGCAATTTGGTCTGTCATCGAGAAGAACCTGTTTCGCCAAAGGGTTTTCCTCATGTGTGCCACAAACAGGGAGTATGTATCCGTACTCAATGAAGGAGCATTCAAACCTGAGGAGTCCGGTATCGACACAAAGGTGTTGGAGGACATGACTGGCCCAACTGAGGCATTCAAAATCGCAAGTGGCGAAATGACCCCAGGTGACTACGCAACCGATGACACAACCATTTTCCAACGAGGCCCTGGAACCGCCATCAACAGGTTTACGAAGGACAAGAGGTTTAAGACCCGATGGGTTGAACCAGTGGTCGGCACTCATGAACTGGAACCCGTTGTGTCAGATCGATGCATGTGGTTTACCATCGACAATGAGAGCTCTGACATCATGTGCGGCTGCTGCAGAAATGCGGTAACGATGGATGAGATCGAAACATGCCAGGTGAAACCGACCCACTGCATCAACTGCTCTGCAAACACCCAAGATCACTACAAGCGCTCCGCTCCCACATTGGAAGCCAGGAAATCCGTCTTGCTCCTGGCGGCCAGATTGAAGGTCGCATTTGAGGAGCTTGGCGTCGACGTGGTTGATATCAATCAAGGATTTCAGACATGGCTTACATTCACGGCATCTTCTTTGATTTCAAACGCTCTATTGCCGTACGGGGAGCACTTGATGAAGTCTCTTTCGCACATGGGGGGAGGCAGGGTATCGAAGAGACAGGCTCTGGAGATCTTCCGGAATGGACGCGGCAAACAGTTCAGCATCTACCGCGAAAGAATCTATGATGAGGTCGCGAAGAAGTGGCTCCTGGTCTACAGGGTCACGAAAGATTGCGGGAATGTCGCGTACAAGGACTTCTTCGAGAAGGTCGCTGTTCCTGAGGTGAAGGAAAGGAACGAAATCTTCGGATTCTCCCGTGCATCAGCCGAGAAGACTGGGGATATCATCGAGTTTTGGCTTGGTGTCTTGGATGTGGCAAACATGGCAAAAGGAGTTGTGAATGTCTTCAATGCCAGCGTTGACCCTGCTGAATTCCTCAACGGCTTGGAAAAGGCATTGGCCCAATTCACATCAACTTCCAGAACTACAAGCACCATCAATGACAAGAGACGAGGATCTTTCGACTGCACCCTGCAGACAGCAGAAGCCGAAAAGGTCATGAAGATCATCCACGCAATCCCCGGGTATGAATCGTTGATTAACTTCAGCTGTCTCACGGAGTGGGAAAAAGATCAGGTCATCTCTCAGTATCGAAGAAAGCACCATATCACAGGGGATGACGCCAACATGGGCGCTGATGCTGATGCCAAGCCGGGTGACGAGTCGTCGACTCACCCTGGGGAGGAGGAAGCTGATGAGCCGGCAAACGACCCTACTGATGTGGTTAGGGACTCAGAGATTTCCGGAAAACAACAACTCCTGGATGCGTTGGGAAAACTCTTCACTGTCTCTGAGGATGTCAATGTGTGTTTGTACTGTGGTAGCGCCAAACATGGTCATCTCGAATGTGAAAATGAGAAGAAGGATGAAGTCAGAAAGGTGCTAAAGGCCGTCCGAGCGTCGCTCGAGGCTGATAGTCCTTACATCTGATGACGTCGAGATGGAACCACCTGAGCACAGAAAGGACGGATCAGGTGCTACTGAAGGGTCAGGGCAAACGGATGAGCCTACAAAACCAAGGTTTGGTGAGTACCAGTGGTACGACAGCATCAGGACTATGTCCGAAGTCGGAGACCTCGATGAGTATGGTAGGTTTTGCATTGAAGGGCGTGATGTTACCAAGCTGGGACCCCAGAATATCGTTGATCTCAACGAAGTGATCCGGGACGCTATTGTCAGAGGAGGAGGTGACACTTGGTCAGTACCAGAGTTCCTCGCAAACTACTCCGACAACAACATCAGAAAACCCTTCTACAAACGGATCGAAGCGCCGCGAGATGGTTTCTTGAAAATCATCCCCACGACGGGAGCCCACTTCTTCAACTGCTTCTACTTTGGCGGTGTGGAGTACGCGGCAAACTATCGCTTCGAAACCGGTAATCGGCTCGACAGCTATGAGGACAAGGTGAGCACCTCACTGAACAGGATCCTAAGACACAATGTGGGGAAGGCCTCAGAATCACAAAGCTTGTTTTGTGACGATGCCGGCTGGGTACCCATTGAGGAAGTACCCAAATGTGAGTCAATCTGGAGACATGAGTACCAACGTTGGCCGCACGTCTTCCTCGCCCCCAAAGGGAGAGCAAACGATCAAAATGCATGGAACATGAAAGAGGCGAGCAATCGCATGGCATTGCTGTTCAAGATCATGTTCCACTGTGCCCGATATGGACGTCGTGTACGTGAACAAGTCTTGGCGTTCGGGATCAACAAGGACATTGATCGCAGCAGCCTGACATGCATTGACAACAACGTCAACGCGGACACGCATATTCCCGACGAGGGGCTATTGCTCTATCCAGTTGCAGTTCGCGCTCCAACGGGGCACAAGGAAGGATCCTCCAGAGACGACGTCTTGTTGATGTCATCATTGCTCTCGCATCCGATCGCGCCCAATACCATCATGTCAATGCCGGTGTGCTTCCACATCACGAAGAAGACCAACCTCCGAAGCATTTGGAGGGAAGGACTAATTCCGGGAGGTCTTGGAGAAGGTCATCGTATGTTCACGTTCTTCAATCCATACGTGCCATGGGATCATAGATCGTGGACTATCACGAAGAGCGTTGATACGCGAAAAGGGGACTACATCTGTCTCTTCATCCCGACCGAGACCCTGATGGTGGAGTACGGTGGTCGATTGACGGATTCGGGACAGATCGTTTCGCCAAAGATCATCCCGTTCTCAGCGATCAGAGGAGGATGGATTCAAGATCCAAAGGATCAAAACAACAAGACATGGCTCCGGTTGTTCGTTCCGTCGGGCGACGACCAGGTAGTCCGGTCAGGCACTGTCAAGTCAAGAACTGTCGCCACCAAGGAGTCCATTCTGAGGATCGCAAGTCAATGCATCGACGCCGAAAAGCAACCGTATGACGAGATCACCATGGATGCAATGAACATCGTACACCAATTCAGGAACAATCTCATTGAAGCTGGTGGACAAGAACAATACCTCGCCCGCATCAAGCTGATCGACTACATCGTCGAGCGCAAGAGGGTGGAAACTTCAGGTTGCCGTCATTGCCCTCATTGCCTCAATGAGACGCCGACGAAGTTGGCAGTATGTCTAGGATGCTGGACAGAGCTTGAGAGCTGTGGAATTCGACCATATAGATTACAAGCTCCTGAAGACGATGAGGACGAAGCCACAAAGAAAAGCTCGACGAGGAGGTTCGCCGACAGGAAGAATCGTTGTTCGAGGATACGGTCCACCAAGCACAGGAAAACGTACCTGAATCCAACGATTATGGCTTCAATCCTGACGAAGTCGACTACAACGAAGGCGATGACGAGGAAATGGCTCAGGAGGAAGAGACTCAGCAGGAAGACGATGAGATCGTCGAAGAGGACGACGATGATGACATGAACGTCGAACCTGAGGATGAGCCTTCATCCAACCTGCCAGCATGGACCAAGAATCTTGTGCCTGGAGGCAAGGGTTTGCCAGGAGATGGTCTAGTAAACAATGATGTCTCCGAGGCCGCGGCTCACTTGTACGACAATGCCGTGATGTCAAAGATCATCGCAATGTTCAGACTCTACTACAACCAGAGAGTCACTTTGACCCCAGAGGACTACTATGCGCTGATGACAGCCACCAAGCGAGTCCGACTGGACCTGGACGACTTCTGCCCCTACACGGGCGAAGATCAGGACGGCAAACTCAAGCGGCCGACTGAGCAGGAATTGGACGAACTCTTCAAGGAGAAAGGGAAGAAGAACTCATGGTCAGAGGGAGAATTGATGTACTCTGAGCGGCCGAGAAACATGATGATGCCTGTCATCAAAACTCTAGAAGTCTACGAAAAGATGATGGAGTTTCTCATCTGTGCCGGGTACACTCCCGAATCCTTAGGTTTCCTCATGCCAATGATGAAGATGCAGGGAGATGCAAAAGAAAAGCAAGAGATGAGGGTGACCATTAGCAACTTTCTCCGACGATTGATGAAGGGAACCTTTCCCGAATATGAATCATACACCTTCTTCCGTTCCGGGAGCCACGGCTTCCCCAACTGCATTGAACTCCCAGCTTTCTCGGTATATCTGAGTCTGAGAGAAAAGGAACAAAGGGTGGAACTACTCTTCGCTGCCCAACAATGCGGTATTCCATTACCTCGCAATTTCATCAGCAAGATGGCTTACGCCATTCAACTTGCTGAATCCGAGGCGATGAGGGGAAAGTCCGAAATGAAAATGAAGATGGCTCCGAACCTGGGGGACGAAGTGGTAAGTGAAGTATTCAAAGCAGTCGGAGACAGTGCCGCCACCAAGCGTGCCACTGCAGACGCGAAAGCCAGATCATCAACACAGCCTTCACAGAAACCTGAAGATACTGGTTCAGCGTCATCCTCATCGGCCAGTGCACCAAAGGCTAAGGCTATGCCGAAATCTTATGGACCATCTAAAGCACCACCTGCGAAGCCTCCATCGCCGAAAGCTGCTCCGAAACGCGCGGCAGGTTGGGAGAAATCTCAAACTACACCCCAATGGAAGAAAGTCCGCCGTGAGGAGTAAACCAACCACCTCTGTCCATCCAAGTGATCACTGGACTATAAGATGTGTATCGTCTTTGTGAACAGATGATCAGGAAAAGACCAATTGAGAGGACTCTGAGCGAGGCAGTAGACTAATTCGCTTAGATCCCAGATTCTCACTATTCCCAATCTGCACGATTCTCTTTTTAGCAATGTGCACGTGAATTCACTAGTTAGCGCCAATTGCTATTCTTGGTGGAGCAGTCAACTTCCGTCGTCGATGGAGTGACTTGCGAAGCCGTAATCGTAGAGTAGCTGCAAGCTAGTGATAATTCGCGTTGTACAGCTCGAACTTGCGCTGATGCATTGCATGCCAGAGAGTAGGCAACCCCGGATCCACTACGCTCGTCGGGTGTGGGTGAAGGGGGAGCTGAATGGATTTGCGTGTACAAAAGCGTAATTCGTGCACAACAAACAACTTAATTCAAAGTTCCCGCTCTCGTGCCCACGGTGCGAAGACACCGCAGGCATGGGGGGTGTCAAAGGGAACGCAGACATTCTATATGTCCAACATGTAACAGATACGCACGGACTGCCAATTATTGGCTCAAGACCCTGCGTGAGCAAAAAGAACTGTGCGCTGCCCGCCATGGTTTGACGTGCCCGGGAATTATCAGCAGACCAGGTACTAATCGACCGAAACCTATATCCAGAACAAGGATCAAATTGTTCACAATATATATATATATATATACATATTCTGCTCTACAGATATTCCATCAGCTACGTGTAGTGAGCATTCCATATCCATCCACTCCCGCTATGCCAGGGAGGATGGACATCCACGGTCGCAAGGACGCAGCGAGGACGGCCAAGATGGATTGCCAAAGCTCGAGAATGGCTGGGTCAGGCGCACTTGACAAATTGCGAACATAGCAGCAGATTTTGGAACCTTGGGTAGTCTTGTCTTGTATACACGAAACAGTAAGGTAAACCTGGCATGAATTTTTGCCGATTGCAGGCACGTAGAATGATACAGACCTTGAACATCTTGAACCGATTTTCCAAACCACGGCACAAAGCAACAGACTCGGAAACTTTCCAAATCTTTCTAACTTCCCATCTCCTTTTGACTCAGCGTTGTTTCAAGTCGATCCCCATTTTTGTTGCCGTTATTCCTCAAGGCCCAGCACACAGAGCTCTACATATTTGAGGCACAGCGGGGATCAAACGGGGTCAATGGGATGAGCCATGCCCTCACGGCTCGATCCCAATTTGCGCTCCCCTTGCTCCGGGGTCGGATACTATATTATACATTATTAATCATTATTATACTATCTTAATTCGAACTTATACCATGCTTATATTATGCTTATACTATGCCTGTACTGAGTTTACTGATAGTACATACCATTACTATCTTGTACGTTTATGGGACATGCCGCAATTATTAAGTATGACATGCTGGCAGATTCCGTCAGATTCCAAGTTGGGAAGATTTTTGGCCGAGGCAGTACATCATGTCGGACTTGGAACGTTGGCGTCAACTCTTCCGTGAAGAGGCGCAACGCTGCGTCAAGGAGCTCCGCGAGGTCATCGAGCAGGATGGAAGAGGCGTCATGGCACGACATCCGATCCGACATCTTATGCGACTTATGCATACTTATGCATACTTATGCAACATGTTTCAATATTCTTCAAGTTTCTTCAAGATCCTGTCCTATCTTTGGGGTGGAGGATATGGATGTTGTATCATATTGCATCATGTTACTTACATCATGCTACATCATCTTGATTGTTGACAATATTGATTCCGATCCATGTCAAATCATTTTGATCCATGTTGCGTGTGCTGTAGCGGTGAAGAGTCGGAAGGACGGAAGGGAACAGGGCCATCAGGGCCATCAGGGCCAAGTCGCGCCAGGGATACCAGGGGAACGAGGTGATACTCGTGGCATCGACCCTCAGTTGGGTTTTGGCAGCTTGGTCGCATTCCGTTGGATCGAACCCGGGCTCGACATGACACACTGAAGGCTATGGCCTAGCTGTCCCAGTAAATAAATAAACAATAAATAAACAAATAAATAAATAGATAATATATATATATATTTATTATACATATTATAGATTATTTCTAGATTATATTCTCATATTAATATTCATAGTAGATTGTCATAGATATCATGATATCATAGATTGTTTTGTGAATTGTACATTTTTGCAATTTGTATATAATTTGTGATTTGTCAAGTTGGCTGGTCCTGAGGTGAGGAGCTCCTGTTGCAGCTCGAGGCGCAGCGAAAGACGGATCAAGCTGAGACCGAGAGCTTGCGAAGCCATGTGGAGGCTTGGGGCGGGCCGCAAAATGGGACAGCTGCACAGTTGGCTTCGATTGGTTTGAACATGTTTGAACTGGTTCAAGAGCAAAAGGAATGTACTATGGGGGTACATGGTACGGGAGTCCCTTTGGCATCACTTTTCAAGCCCCCAGTTTTAGGCCCCCACCGGCCATGTTTTGTCACACTATCTTCCAGTTGTGCAGTTTGAGAAAATTGGCATGGAAGCTGTCCAGACGGCATGGCTTCTGCAGCTAGCACGGCTCACAGCTCGTCGCAGAAAACACAATTTGACTATATCTATAGCCATGTCGTCTGCCGCCGCTGGTATGGAAAGGGATGCTGCGGAAGGTGCTGCTGTAGCCCATGTGCCCGGGATGGATGACCGTATAGCTGCTTTGAAAGCTGAAAGGCAGGCCTTGAACGCCAGCTGCAGCAAACCAGTCGAGAAGTCAAGGCCCAGGCTGGTTCAATTTCATCCTTGTGTGCCATGTTTGTGTTGGTGAAGCTGTATTGACATTCCATCATGCCACTTGCACCTTCATCTTTCCCATCTCAGGTTTTTTTTGGTGAAGCTGCATTGCACCTGCATCGCACCACTTGTACTTTCAATCTTTTTGTTTCAGCTCTGCGCCGGGAGAAAAAACGACGCAGAGTCCTGAAATCGGCGGGCAAGCTGAGCACCCAAGACCTCTCGTGGCTCCTGGCCTTCAAAATGACCCGTCAGCAGTAGCAGCTTCTTCAAAACTATATGTCTCACTGAAGCACTTGTGATTGCTGTCTCCCGAGGAGTCAGCAGCAGCTTCCTCAAAACTATATGTCTCACTGAAGCACTTGTGATTGCTGTCTCCCGAGGAGGAGTCAGCAGCAGCTTCCTCAAAACTATATGTCTCACTGAAGCACTTGAGACTGCTGTCTCTAAAGGAGTCAGACAGGAATGTGGTGAAGTCACACGCGGCAGGTTACCTAACGACTGCTGTCTCCCAAGGCATCAAAAACACGTTTTTGCGTGCTTTGGCACCTGTTTTTGCTGTGGCCCCAAAAAACTACTAAGGATACTTCCAACCATTTTCGCAGACTTTGCATTGGCACGGCAGAGTCACAGCTCATGCACGCATGAAAAACTACTAACCCGTGAAATTGAAATCACAATGGCTTGGACGCAAAACTACTAAGGAATTCTGCCAATTGAAAAGAAATAGAAGAAAGTGTTTCCTTTTTTGTCCATTGAACAATTCCTTAGTAGTTTTGCCACCGAGCCAATACAAAGTTTGAAATTCCCCTTAGTAGTTTTCACACAGAAGCATAGTAGTTTTGCGGCAGAGCCAATATAAAGTTGTGACATCGTGCTTAGTAGTTTCACACCGAAGCATGCTAGTGTTGCAGTGGAGCCAATGCAAAGATTGACATCGCCAACGGCCAGTGAAGCATTTCATCTTGCAGCTGTGATGTGCCACCTGCCGTGACGGCACATGTGTTTCTTCCTAATTCAAAGGGCCTTTCCGGCCACATGCGGCCCCCCCCCTGCACCCCCCGGAATCAAGGTTGACGAAAATGTCTTGCTGTGAAGACCTGACGCTTTGGAAGTTGGCTGCTGCAGTGATTAACACCAGGAAACAACATTGATCCTGGGGGTGCGGGGGGGAGCCGCTGCTGTGACCCTATACGTGGGGCCTCGTGCTGTGTGTGCAAAAGGTCTGAATTTGGGGTCGCTAACGGACGCTGATTTCAGCCCTCTTCATTGAGGGCCCTCCTTGTGACAACACAAACCTGCATGATGTGGAGAGATAACCAGCAGTGTTTTTCCATAACAGTGTCATAACACAAACCCACATGATTGGACGGCTCATCATCATTGTTCGGTCTTGCCTGCTCCTCACAGGTCGCTTCTCCTCGATGTTTTTTCCTGGACGCAGCCATATGAATCAAGTCTTGCCGCGCTGACTGCATGCAACAGCAATATAGTTTTTGTTTTTTGCATGAGCCAGACATGAATTTGTATGCTTTGAAATGCCGAGGCCATGCTTTGGCAGCACTCATTAGGTCATCTTCCTTGCTTCCATTCGAATTCAGCTGTATCAGACAGGATTGGTTTGACATGACACGAATGTTTTCAATGAGTCTGCCGACAGATAGTTTTTCTGCGTCAGTCATGCAGCGTGGCGTGGCCGAAGGCACATCTGATGCCAGGGTGTCAGACTTGAAGGAAGCCTTGGTGCAGAATGGCAAAGCACTGAAAGCGGCTTATCGGCAGAATGCCAAAAAACGGAAAAGGTTGCACTGTGCCGGCCTTGGAGTGGCAGCCCGCAAAACTGTGGTAGCTGTTTACATGCTGTCGAATTTAAACATGGATTTGACTCTCCGCATGGCTTCTGCTTTGACAACGATATCCTATGGCAGCAATGGGTACCCCACGGCAGCTTTGATCCAAGAGATGTTGCTGACGACGCCGCTGCCAGATTTGACCGCTTTGGATGACACAGCTTCACGCAAAGCGCAAGCCTTCCTGGCCGAAGCAGCCACAGAGCAGTGGGTCTATGACTGCAATACGAATCATTGTCAAGCACCTTCTGCGATGGACACGTTTTTGAAGTGGGAGGAGGCCTTCCATGGCCAGAAGCTGGACATGGGTGTGCCAAACAAACGCATGGTCAATAAGTGGGTGCAGCGCTGGCGGGCTCGGTGGGGCGTCCGCCGGAAGGTGCTGAAGCAAGTTGTTAGCAGAGACCCCGCTGTACTGCGCGACAAGGCGCGGGCCAGCCAACTTACAACATTTTGTCTTCTTTTTTTGGGTTGGCTGGCTCCATTTTTGGGGCCGGAATGTGGCCCCAAAAATGGGTCCCCCTCATGTTTCATGCCTGTATAAGCCTACTTAATCCCGGTTGGGCGGTCCCATTTTTGGGGCCAGAATCTGGCACCAAAAATAGGCCCCCATTTTCAATCAATTTCTTCCCTCGGAATTATATTTGGGGACCCTATATATAATAAGGCTTTGTCTTTCACTTCCTGCAACGCTCGAGCCGGTCATGACATTTTGGCGGGCCATCTGCTATTGCCACAGCAGGCTCGCAGACAGGGAGCTACTTTTTATAAATCTGGATGAGACTAGCGTCGGCCACACCATGACACCGCCTATTGGATGTGTGGCAAAGCCACGGACAGCAGGTGGCAAACAGCCGCATGCACAGGTGCTGAAGCAACATGTTCGAGGTGCGTGGACTTACTTATGTCAGCGTGGTTTGCAACTGCAAGCACATCCAAGGGAAGTTGCCTCATTTTTTCATTGGCACCCAGGTGAAACTCACGAAGAAGCTCTTGCGCGCCCAGCGCGCTTTGCCACAAACTCGTTTGCGTGTTTTGCGGCAAAAGTCCGCTTGGACCTCTGCTGCCAACAGTGCCCAAATTCTCAAAGAGATCGCAGAAGTGCTGAAAAGTTTTCCGTCAAAACAAGGCGTTGTACTCCTTGATTGTGCGCCGGCACACCTGCCACGGCAGGTCATGGCAATGGCACGCAAGTGCAAGCTGCAGCTTATATATATCCCAGCGCAGACAACGGATTACCTACAGCCGCTTGATCTGCAAGGCTTCTCCCCTTTTAAACAATATTTGAAAAGGAAGCACCAGGAGTTGCGCTCATATTCAGAGCACGGTTTAGTGCCTCCTCTGGCCTGGCTATGGCAGTGCATGCAAGCCCCTCACGAATTTTGGGCAGCTCGGCAATGGCAGAAAAGCTTCGATGCAGTGGGCTGCAATGGCCCAGGTCAAGTGCACAAAGCGCTTCAACACTTGATGGGTGCAGGGGTGCCTTGGCCTGGGCCTGACAGGCCGACACCCCAGCAGATGCAGTGCGTTTGGCCAGCGCGACGCCAAATGGCGCACGCGTATAAGGTTCTTTTTCTTTGATGCTGCCGCTCCGGGTGGATCCAACAGATTTGCAGACGTGGGTGGCACTATAGGACAAAGATTGTTTTTCCATAATACTATGGGGGTACATGGTACGGGAGTCCCTTTGGCATCACTTTTCAAGCCCCAGTTTTGGGCCCCCACCGGCCATGTTTTGTCACACTATCTTCCAGTTGTGCAGTTTGAGAAAATTGGCATGGAAGCTGTCCAGACGGCATGGCTTCTGCAGCTAGCACGGCTCACAGCTCGTCGCAGAAAACACAATTTGACTATATCTATAGCCATGTCGTCTGCCGCCGCTGGTATGGAAAGGGATGCTGCGGAAGGGGCTGCTGTAGCCCATGTGCCCGGGATGGATGACCGTATAGCTGCTTTGAAAGCTGAAAGGCAGGCCTTGAAACGCCAGCTGCAGCAAACCAGTCGAGAAGTCAAGGCCCAGGCTGGTTCAATTTCATCCTTGTGTGCCATGTTTGTGTTGGTGAAGCTGTATTGACATTCCATCATGCCACTTGCACCTTCATCTTTCCCATCTCAGGTTTTTTTTGGTGAAGCTGCATTGCACCTGCATCGCACCACTTGTACTTTCAATCTTTTTGTTTCAGCTCTGCGCCGGGAGAAAAAACGACGCAGAGTCCTGAAATCGGCGGGCAAACTGAGCACCCAAGACCTCTCGTGGCTCCTGGCCTTCAAAATGACCCGTCAGCAGTAGCAGCTTCTTCAAAACTATATGTCTCACTGAAGCACTTGTGATTGCTCTCCCGAGGAGTCAGCAGCAGCTTCCTCAAAACTATATGTCTCACTGAAGCACTTGTGATTGCTGTCTCCCGAGGAGTCAGCAGCAGCTTCCTCAAAACTATATGTCTCACTGAAGCACTTGAGACTGCTGTCTCTAAAGGAGTCAGACAGGAATGTGGTGAAGTCACACGCGGCAGGTTACCTAACGACTGCTGTCTCCCAAGGCATCAAAAACACGTTTTTGCGTGCTTTGGCACCTGTTTTTGCTGTGGCCCCAAAAAACTACTAAGGATACTTCCAACCATTTTCGCAGACTTTGCATTGGCACGGCAGAGTCACAGCTCATGCACGCATGAAAAACTACTAACCCGTGAAATTGAAATCACAATGGCTTGGACGCAAAACTACTAAGGAATTCTGCCAATTGAAAAGAAATAGAAGAAAGTGTTTCCTTTTTTGTCCATTGAACAATTCCTTAGTAGTTTTGCCACCGAGCCAATACAAAGTTTGAAATTCCCCTTAGTAGTTTTCACACAGAAGCATAGTAGTTTTGCGGCAGAGCCAATATAAAGTTGTGACATCGTGCTTAGTAGTTTCACACCGAAGCATGCTAGTGTTGCAGTGGAGCCAATGCAAAGATTGACATCGCCAACGGCCAGTGAAGCATTTCATCTTGCAGCTGTGATGTGCCACCTGCCGTGACGGCACATGTGTTTCTTCCTAATTCAAAGGGCCTTTCCGGCCACATGCGGCCCCCCCCTGCACCCCCCGGAATCAAGGTTGACGAAAATGTCTTGCTGTGAAGACCTGACGCTTTGGAAGTTGGCTGCTGCAGTGATTAACACCAGGAAACAACATTGATCCTGGGGGTGCGGGGGGGGAGCCGCTGCTGTGACCCTATACGTGGGGCCTCGTGCTGTGTGTGCAAAAGGTCTGAATTTGGGGTCGCTAACGGACGCTGATTTCAGCCCTCTTCATTGAGGGCCCTCCTTGTATGTATATATATTATATATATTATATATGTATATATTATATATATTATAGAATATATATATTATATTATATATATATTATATTATATATAATATTATATTATATATATATATTATATATATATTATATATATATACTTTATATATTATATTATATATATATTATATGTATATTATAATATATATATATATATATATATTATATATAATTATATGTATAATAAATAAATATATATATATAATAATATGTATATTATATATATATATCATAATATGTATATATTGATAGTAATAATAATAATTATTATTATTTATTTATTTATTTATTATATAATTATATATATATAAGTATATATATATGTGTATATATATATAAGTATATATATATATATATGGGCCATGGTTCCTCACGTCAGAGATGATCATTGACCAAAAGATTGAAGGGCCACTCGGCAAACATCAGTCCAACATTCCACCCCAAGTTCTAAAATTGAAATTAAACCCCAACAAGACTCCATAAAACTTCCTCTGTGCTGCTTCAACTTCAATGAGTTCCCCCTACAACCCCCCGGCGGTCCGAGCTGGCTGGAAGTACACCAAGGATCTCTTGCCACCCATGAGAGTTCGGGTTCCAGCTGAAGGTTAATGCCCAGGTAGGCCACAAACCTCGAGAAGCCACCAATTTCAGCTGGCTACTGTTGAAATGAGAACCTAGAAAGCATGCTTGAATTGAGTTGAAACTCTTCATTTTGCGGCTGCTTTGTTGGGGTATTTAACATGCTGACAGGGAAATGTGACAAAACATTTTATGTGTGTTGTAAAAAAATAGAAGGCCCAAAACATGAATGAAGGGGGTTGCCCTCATCTAAGGGTGACATAACTTGTACACCCTTAGATCTCTTCAAGGTGGTCTGGAGATGCTCTGGAGTGTTGCCACCTGCAGTTCCCGCAGTTCCCGCCGCGGTGACACCGGACTTGTTTTAACTGCTCCGCAGCTTCTTCTGGACTTTTTTCTTTTTCTTTCCTTCACTCTGATCCTGCAACTCCACAGGATTGGACCTGGCGATTTTCCGCAACCAATGTTAGATGTGAAAAAATTGCAGGTCCTTTATGGTCCTTTAATTTCTTGCTGCCCTCCAGTGCGATCTGGCGATTTTCCGGTTCTTTAGGTCCCATCATGTCCCATCCCACAGATCCAGAATCCAGGTCCTTCAACTCCTCTTTCTGCGGGCCGCTTAGGCCGCTTCCGTCCTGGTAACCCAAAAAAGATGCCGAAAAGTGGGACAGCTGCAGGAAGCGTTCAGTAAATATCACGCTATATCACACTAACCACCTTTTTTGTCACCATGTTTCGGCATCTTTTTGGGTATATCAGTCTGTTAAAAAGTCATCCGCAACTTCTTTGGAGACCACAGATCTAGGCAAAGACTGAACCTAGCGCCGCGATCGATTTGCTTCGACTTGGGAAGCTGTCTCTATTGGTGGATACCCAGTGGATACCCCACAAGATGTCATTTCCACAAGCGACGACTTGGCCATCTGATTCGCTAGCGTCGCTAGATGTCCATTGAATGAATGGATGATGGGACCATGTTGAAACCCTGGACATTGGGATGGCTCAAAGGATTCTAAAAAAAACACGCGATGGCGATGGCATTTTCATGGACAAACCATGAACCAATGCTTTCAACCGCAAAATTCCCTCTAAACCAATCCATTGTGCCTGCTGAAATACATTGAAATACCCAAGTTTCTTGCTGAAATTCTAAAAAAAATTGGTGCGTGAAATCCCATCAACTCCCACATGTTACGGAAAAATCCCATCAAATCCCATCAAATCCCATCAAATCCCATCAAATCCTATCAAATCCCATCAATCCCATCATTTTCCCACGATTTTCCGGAAAATCGTCCTGCGTTGGCGCTGGCGCCTTTCGCTTAGCGCCCCTGGGTTTGAACTGCGGCGCCTGCTGCTTCCCCGCACTGGGCTTGCGCGGCTGGCGCCGACGCACGCGGATGGCGCGGCCCTTGTAGTCGATGCCGTCCAGAAGAAGAACCTCCCAGTTGAATCCCAAGCGGTTGGAAACCTAGTGCATGTGCACACACACACACACATATATATATATACAGTATATATATATATATATACAGTATATATATATATATATACAGTATATATAGATATATATATTATGGGTGTAAATTAGATAATGAATAGATAGATACATGATGATACATACATATATGCACATATATACATATATATATATGTACATATATATATATATATATTATACATCTATTTATATGCGATTATACTTCACTAGGACGAACGTTTTTTCCTGTCTGCTGCTTCAGGACAAAGCCATGTATATCTCTGTGCGGATCAACGTAATGTGAGGGCCATAACTCGCGTGACCTGCGTGGTGGAAAGGTCAGGAGTCTATGGGGAAAGGGTGTTGGAAAGCCCAAGAGTAAAAACTTTTGTCCTGGTGGTGGTGTATATATATATATGTGTGTGTGTGTACGACTATAATCGACTATACATATACATATTTAACTCTAGACTAAGCAGCTTTACATATAGTTCTACCATGGTATTATATCTATATATAGATCTATAGTTACTTAACCATTATGACTGCAGGTTATCAAAAAAACACAGAACTGGACGATAACCTTCCCTCACAGAACTGAGTAAACCAGCCATGGTTACAGAACGGATGGGATGTTGGCGAAGATTGGCATAAACTCGAGAAAATGACAGGATTTGATATGATTTGATCTATCAAAATAATCAAGAAAGCAATTTGGTACAGCATGATTGAATCAAATGGAAAGTGAATTTACAGTATCACACAAAAGGTGCATCTAATCAGCCAAAAATTGGCCCTCGAATGCTGACAGGCCCCAACCACAGCTGATACGGCTCTTCGTGTCATGCGAAAACTGTGACTTTAACGAAGTTGTGGTTTTAATCATGAGAAAATGGGGCAAGAAATAGCAAGCATTTCTGAAGTTGGCTTACTTCCCTGAGTTCCTCCATGTATAGAATTAGCACTAATGAAGAACTCTCTCTCTCTCTCTCTAGGTTTTAGCAGCTCAAGGGATCAAAATCCTTCGGGGTGCTTCAGCGAAACTCCCATTACAGTAGGCGGTCACATTCGGGTTCTGAAAATTTCGCAGAGCCGCGAAATTCACACCACATCCCATGACCTTGTCAGCCACAGCAGGGTCTTTGTAGAAAAGGCAGGCGGTGCCAGCAGGCTTGTTGCTGGCATTCCTCAGCACCCTCTAGGCCCACGATTCATGGCTCAGATGCTCCATGGCTTCCCCCCCCATCGTTGGGCTAATCTTAGATACCCTGCTATTCTTCTTTAAAATCAAATGGTTAGGTTAATATAACTAACCTTCATCTAAGTGGCAAAAAGATGAAGTCGTTCCAAGCTAATGTAGTAAACAGATCATGATTGATCATGAATCATCCCAGCAACCATTTGGGGATCAGTTTGCATCATCTGAAATCGAGGTACGCCCAGTATATACACAATAATCAAAACCAAGTGGGGTGGTTATTGCCTCATTTCTCATTCAGTCGGTCAATGCTTCACCCTGCAGTCATGCAAATGTGTCCAGATGATTTGTACCATCCACTCGCTACGTTTGCACCATCATAACCCCTGGTTGGTGGTATACCTACCCCTCTGAAAAATATGAGTTCGTCAGTTGGGATGATGACATTCCCAACATATGGAAAATTAAAATTCATCCAAACCACCAACCAACCATTTCTGTATTCCATGGATACATCCACATGATTCGCGCACCAGGGTGAGGTCTACCCCCTTGTCCCATCACCTTCTAGGAGATGCTTTCTCCTTGGAAACATGTTGGAACCCAAGTTTCCAAAGCCAAATTCGTTCCAAATAAAATGCATTACTTGGAACTTCAACGAAAAACCATTGTTTACTTGGAAAACAGTTTACTATCGGAATTTTCACATCTGAACATCCCAACATCCTCCCCCTCCGCCCCCAAAACCCAACCCCCGCATGCAGCGCAGCGCCTGTGGAAGAAGAAGCGGCTCACTTCGCCGAACTTCTCGAAATCCTTCCGTAGCACCTCTTCGCTGACGGAGAAAGGAAGCTGGGAGAGGTAGATCTGGCCATCATTTCCTGAACGCGCGGCCAATCGAACGGTTCGCCCTGGAAAAACCATGGATTTTCCCATCTGAAAATAATAATTTCACCAAAAAATGGAGGATGTCCTGGGATTTATAGCTGATTCTGGTAGCAAATTCAATCTTGAGCGGGTTTAGCCTCTGGCAATTACATCACTCTGAAAGATCAGGGCTTCACCTGGTAGCATCGTAAATGGCATGGCAATGGATGCCATGCCAAGCCATGGCTATGTTGAAGAGGTAAGTTGCTACCCATCTGATGGAAAATCACCAGAGTATAAATCATCAAAACTACATGGGCCATAGCATCCATAGCAAACGGTTTTTATTTACCAGAGGGTAATCGAGACTATGAAGAACCAGTGGAGTTCTAAACAAATTGCAGGTTTATCAGGAAACAATGGATCTTGACCAGCAAAAATTGGGGGCGTATATGGGCTACGCCACGCCAGCAAAAATGTTGGTTCTACTGTGTTCTACTAACCAGCAAATTTGCTTGGCCAACAAAAAGGGTGAAGAACCATGGTTAGGAACTGATGTCTTATTAATATCACCCAAGAATGGAAGTCTCGGGGGGTTGTTTTTTATTACTGGGAAAATGAATCAAAGGAACAGGTGCAGTGACGGAACATCCCAAGTCGTGGAATCCTCTGGAAAGATGTAAGTCATCATGCAAAATACTCAGATGTTGGTTGGGACTAAAAATGATTTCCAAGATATGCTGGGGGAACATATCAAGCAAATATGCTGTGCAAAAAAACATATGAAGAAAAGTCATCATTGGGTGGAAATGACCAAAAAATTGACGCTTGGTGGTGTCAACACATCCGCAAAATGTTGGCCAACCCTGTATCATCATACCAGGTGATGATGAAAAATTAACACGATATGTACAGAAGATTTGCTTGACACCAGCGACCTGAAAACAGCCAAGCAAATGTTGAGTTTCGGGTACTTGCCGCCTCAACCTAAGCAACGGGGCAAACATTGGTCACATGATGTCACATTTAAAGAAGATGGCCTCATGTTTGTTGGAAGATGCTCTCTCTCTCTCTCTCCCTCTCTCTCTCTCTCTCTCTCTCTCCCGCTCTCTCTCTCTCTCTCTCCCTCTCTCTCTCCATCGCCATCTCGTCGAGTGAAGCTGCCAGACTAAGGCACTAACCCCACTAAATCTATAGTAATTCCATATTTACTGGGATGAACACTCCAAGATTAGTCCATGGTTAATCAATAAATAATCCATATTTCCCATCATATTCTGCCACAGGATGTGAGGAAAAAAAAACGTCCGACATGTCCTTACGGGTCATCTTGTTCCAAACTTTCCAGGACTGCATTTTGAAGAGCAAAGGCCAAGGATATATCATACTACTCTATATATATGTACATAAACGAAATATAACATAGCATTAGCATGTATATAATATAGAGTGATATATATATATATACATATTATGTGTGTGTGTGTTTACTTGTGGAATCATAATGCGTTACTATACGTATATAATATTATATAATATGTATATATCAACCATCCGAACACATGGGGGGTCAAATTGTCGCATGTTTCATGCCCAAAAATCCCATGAAAACTAGGCCTTGATCATGCCAAAAATGCCACATGAAAACTAGGCAACCATATATATATATTATATATATATATCCTTATATGTCATAATAATAATGTTGCATTGATAGAATAATAACTAGTGTTCATATAACTATCCTTATAACTAGTAGTATTTCTCCCACAGACCTCCAAGTTAGTGATCATGTTCAGAATAATTGGGTGACAAACCGGTGGCGATGGTTTTGAGGGTCACCGGGCGAAAAAGAGAACTCTTGGGAGGCGAACTTTGGCCGAGGCACTGGGCTGACGGTCTTCTTCTTTTTCTTCTTCTTCAGCTTCTCTTGCCCTTTTGATGTAGATCCTGCAGGGCCTGTACAATAGGGCACTGCAAGAAGGTCATTGAAATAACACCATTATATATTGTTACAAGTATACCATGTTATAGTTAAATTACATACAACCCGCGTATTAAATATAAACTCCACATACAGTCCATAGATAGTTCCACTTCTAGTTTTACTTCCATATCAGCTCCATATAGAAGGTCTATATAGTTCTAGTTCCTAGTTCCACTGGTTATAGTTAATGTAATAAAGTCATATAAAGCTTGAAACGGACAGTTATGGCATGTTATAGCTCATGTTTTGGATCAAAATATAGTTATAGTTATAGTTATAGTTATACCACTGGTTATAGGGAAATCTCCACTCTTTTTATAGTTATAAAGTCAATTAAAGTCATATGTTTCATGTAAAGTCCACTGGTTTAGTCATATCAAATCCTCAGCCGGTGCCGCCTTTCGAAGCCACGCGCGCCATGGCCGCCTCGGCGCGTTGGATCATCTCGCTGGCGCGTTCGGACACGCCGTGGCCGGACACGCCGCCGTCCTGAAAACCATGGGTTTCCGGTGGATTTTTCCCAATCTGAGATATGGTTATGATAGATATAGAATATGATATAGACTGATAGATATACTGTAGAATATTCATAAAGATATATGGAACAGATTTGATAATGATGTTTTGTAAATATAGATATATGTAGATATGTAGCTATGCATTTATATGTGTAGGTATAAAAGTATATATATATATGTTGTGTGTTCATTTTTTGTCTATGATTGTTGTTTGTCTATATATTGACTCATCGTTGTTCCGATGCAAATATATCAAATTATATGTTGAAATTGTATATAGTTGCAGATGTCTAGCTATATAATCATACGTAGCTTTATCAGGTTTTATCTAGTTATACGTAACTAAAGTCATATATAGTGACTATAGTGATGGTATAAGTGTATAAATCTTAATCTTAATCTCTCTTGCAGTAATCTGGTGGAAAAAGCTTCACTTTTCGTTCATCCAATTTTTTTTGGTTGGGTGAGGGACGCAACTGCTTGCCTCACAACCTTGGCCTCCTGAGTTGGTCTTGGTAAATTATATCATGGCATGAGTTTGTCTGGGAAAGGGCATATGATGTAACCCCCAAAATGCCATCTCAAAAGGGAAATGTAGGGAACATTTTGAGAGATATGAGAGGCAGATTAAGGGGTTTAGGCGTGCCCGTGCAATTATTCCAAACTCATGCCAAAACCTACATCCTCAGGACCCTCAACAACAGGTGCGGAAAAACATCAAACAGATGGTCAAAGTGGGCGAACAAGCAAGGCCAAGACAAGCCTTAGCGACTGGTAGGTCCAAGGCTAGTCTAGTCAGTTGTTCTTAATTTCCATCTGGTGTGCAAAATGGAGGTGCGGGATGTGAGCATTTTGAAACTATGGCACTTCTCTTTATTCTTTGAGCTAAGTTCTTCATTTATTAGACCCAAAAAGGAAAGTGATAGATCATGATAGATCCAAATCTCTCATCAAGAAATGGATGAAATGGTGAAACCTAGGACAAAGCTGGGGGAGTCCTAGGGGTCTCCTAGGGGTCTCCGGGGTCTCCCAAGGGCACCGTTTTTCCACCCACAGCGATCTCAGCCATCTATCTCCTCGGAGTCGGACTCGAGCTCCGCATCCGACGAGCCTCCCAGGATGATCGGCTCCTGGGGAAACCCGGCGGCTCGAAAACCCACCCGGTTTTCAGGGTCTGAAAGGTGAAGAAACGGTAAAACCCATGGATAAATGTTGCGTAAATAGACGAATCAACGCGACAAATAAACACTTAAACATAATTTACACAATAAATATAAAGATACATGAAAAAACTCATGCAATAAACAAGCATGGTAAAAATTGTCCAGTTTTGACTTATGCGGGACACTATGGTAACCAAGGTTGATGCACTGGGAAGCGCTCGAAGGATCATCGCAACTAGAACTAGCAACCACCATGTCCATGTTGTCAACAAAAGGCAGCCCAGTGGGAACTACTCCCTGCCAGCACCAAATGGGAGCAACACAAAAAAAAAAGTGGACTATTACCATCTACATCCTATCACCAAAGTTTAAGCAGTTTGAAATCAACCATCAATAAAAGAAGTGCCCTTGATCAAGGTTGAGCTACCCAACATTTACCGAGTTTGACCCACTCCTGTAGCTCGGGCGGTAGCAAGGCATCTTCGCTTCTCTTCTGGTCTGGCGTGGCGTTTTTTTTCCCATGAAACTCCACCATCTGGGTATTGGGCAAAACCTTGGCCTTCTCCGTTTCTACACTTAAACATGGTGGTTTACCCCATGTATTTTTACCATCTTTTGGTGAAAAAATGGAGGGCCTAGGTCCTAGGTATTTATCCATATTTGGGGATGAACATTTGCCCAGAATCCCCAACTTGGACAAACCCGAAACTTGGGCGATTTCTCCAGGAAAAGATGGCCCCAACATGAACTGAACCAAAACCAGCCGAGAGACCCTTGGACTTCTTCGACTTGGCGCCACCTTTCTTGATCTTCTTCACCATTGCGCCGGATGAGGATGGGATGGTTGGGTGATATGTTTCTGCCGCGAACTGGGGACCTTGGGGTTCACCCAACGAGGTATGGATAGATAAATGGTGAGATGTATAATTTGCAGACCATGTATTCAGTATATATTTATATATAGTTATTTATACATATATATATATACATATGTTTGTGATTATCATGTTTGTGTACGTACCTGCCTGTGTATGCATACATGCAATGCGTGTATGTAGTATAGCTGCAAAGTATATACGTTCGAACCCACCGCCAAAAACTCACGACGAATTGGCATTTGGCCAAGCATGCATGGGGGTTGTACGTAAGAAACATATCGGACAAAAAAATGTTGATATATTGTTGATATAGATTCATATCACCAATGCAAAGCTTGATAAAGCTTGTACAGAGTGGAGCACCGAGATTGACCAGCGGGCCATCATGTTCCTCACATGTTCATCAGTTCATCATAAAAAAATGTCGGATCATAGAGCTTCACCAACCAACCGAGTCGTTGCACGCGACAACTGGCGGCAGCTGAAAGCCAAAGACTGCAGGTAGCTGCATCCTTTGCAGAGTTTCACCAGGGATCGAAAAAAATCATGGCGATGGATTAATCCTTTTATTATATATTATATATTATTTATATTGTTTATATCTATATCTATAATTATCTGTATCTATATCTATATCTCTATATATATATCTATCTATATCTTGATATATATATATGTGTGTGTGTGTGGTTGACTTGTACTAATTCACCACACTGAAATCAGGTCATGGCCGCTGTGAGGCCCCGCTCCATCGCTGTGAGCTGATCTTGTCCTGGTGGGATCTGCAGTGCTCGGCAGCTCTTTGTCTCCTGAAAGAGACAGCGCCAGCGGACGCCACAAAGAACGGACGTCAACAAGGACACCGCCCCTGAACAAAACACGTGGTTCACTGGTTGAGTCTTCACTGGTTGAGTCTTCATTGGTGAGGGCTCTAAATTTGAGGATCAAATCGCCGTTCTGCACAGTTTGAGATCAGGTTTTCTTGCAAAATCTCAATTATTCTTCATCTTTGTTGCTTAAATCATGGGTTTTTCACCATGTTTCATAGTAAAATCCCTTAAACAAATCCAATCTTTCATGGTGAAATCCTCATTTTTCACCATATTTCACCCGTTTTTTGATGGCAAACTCCCGCCCGGACCTCCCCCGTTGCAGCAGTTTCCGCCGTTTCGGTGGTCCTTGAGGAATTCATCGGTGGCCTCGTCCAAGCGGGTGCCAATCCGTTCTGCCTCCGCCCCAAAGATGGGGCGCTTCGTATCCTCCATGGGCACCTGAAACGCGTTGGGGAAATCTCTGACTTTCTTGGGGGGATTTCACCAGCAACAAGTGGGGATAGATAGATACATATATGGCAGTGTGTCAAAACCTTGTACCCCTGTAGTTCACATCAAAATAGCTGGTAAATGGATGCTCATCCCCCTAAAAATGGTATTAATAGGTATTGATCCATACCCATATATATATATATACACACTGTTATATACTTATACGATCTTATACGAATGCATCTGTATATATAATGTAACGTAATGCAATGTAATGTGATGCAATGTAATCTTATGTAATGTGATGTGATGTAATGCAATGCGATGTGATGTAATGTATCTACGCCCTCCGTTTGTACCTTTAAAATGTTGTGGTATCCAATACATATATATATATATGTTATATATATGTATACTCTGCATAATACTGTAAGTGATATGTATAATACAATTATACATGATATATATATATATGTATTCAAATGGTTTGTGATATCCATATATATATATAGTAATCCAGGAAAAATAAGAAACGTTCATCACTACTCATAAGTAGGATTTCACTTCTCTATCTTTCTTTGGGGGGAGTTTTCATCAAGAAAATTGAGCATGACACAAATCAATATTGGCTTCGCAAGGAAAAACCCAAGGATTCAACAAACAGGTGATTTGGCAAAGATGGAGATCACCAACAAACAATGGGAACATATGGAAACTTATGGATACAATAATACAAAATAGGGATATCATGGTATATCACTATCACAAGGATCTACAAACAACCGTTCTCCCCGCAGTTGCAACCACCAAATCTGCGGCTGAGCACAATGAAATCAGCGCCTTAGGCGACCTAATAAAAAAGCGAATCTCCGAGATTCAATCTCGTCGAATCTTTTTGCATATCCTGCTCTATCTGATCTTCTCAAATCTTCACCAGCCCCATCCAGCGCCAGTGGATACCATGTAAATCCCCTACATCCACCCTGGTTTCTGGCTGGTGACCAACGAATCTCGTGTGGCCTCCGCGCCCCGCGCAGAAATCTGCGCGGCGAAAAAAAACGACGGCGCTGAGCAACAAAAGGAGGCCGCGGAGGGCGCACAAAGTGGTGGCACGGTGGATCTTCGGAGAAAGCCACTGACGAAGAATCCCCTCCCAATTTTTTTCACCCCCTCCAGAAACCATGGTTTAGTAGCGAATGAGTAGGGAATTTCCACATCATTGGGAGCATAGAATGGGGGTGTTCAACATGAACGGGGGAAGCACTGAAAATCCGAGTCATTCCCCATTGACGGCGACTCGTCTTGAGCAACTGCTGGATTACTATTGGAAATAATGGGATTACAAGGGAATTAGATGGATTATGATGGATTCTAATGGATTTTTAAGGATTATCATGGATTATTATGGGGTTCACCAACAGCAATAGAGGATCATTATAATGGGATTGACCAACAATCAAGAAACGCAATGGATAAATCATAATACTTAACCAACCTAAAAAGAATATAATTATAAACATGCCAGCGACTTCTCAATGGGATCGAATGAACTTTAGCCAGTTTCTTGGAATGATCCAGGCAGGAAACATGGAACTTGATGGAACATGATCCAGGCAACAAAAGCCACCTCTTCCCCCCAGCGCTTGAAGAAGAATTCTCCCAGAATCGGCTGTCAGATCTCAAAATGTGTCAAATGGCGTTTTCTGATAGCCGTAAGCTTCTGAGAAAGTCAAGGGAAATGACATGCCTCGATTTCAGCCACGAATTTGGGAGCTGCTTCCGCCTCACCCATGGCCAAACCCCCAACCCCCTGAAAAATTGGGCCTCAAGGCACGAGGTGAGCCAAAGGTCCCGAAGCGCGAGAAAATGGCTGCGCAAGTCGGGGATGGTAGGAAACTCCCATGAGCCTGGATCAACCTGGATGTCGCAAGTCGTTGTGACGCTTTCACGACTTAAGTTACTTTACGTTTTTCAAAATCTCCCAGGTTTTTAGTGGTCAAAATCAAAAAACACAAAACAAACTTACCACACCATTAACACTAGTACTGTCAGTTTTTTGATGCTCATCAACATCACCCATGACGGATCCATGGTGCTGGTATACCCTCCGGTAAACTAACATAGCTATGGAAAATCACCACTTTCAATGGGAAAATCCACTATAAATCACCATTTTCAATAGCTGTTAAATTACCAGAGGGTATATGCTAACATGACTGGGGTTTTTGTTGATGGGATCCATGTTACGATGATCCCAGGTGGATCCAAAAAAAGCTGCCCGACATACCAGTCCCATGGCTGGCTCCACTAGGACTCGGACTCGATCATCCCATAAAAAAACACCACTGAAATGAGGAGCTTCCCTTGATTTTCTCAATATTCTTGGTAAATCTCATGGTGGTTAATGAAAATTGCTGGTTGAATATGGTTGAATGATATCCCATTTTAAGTTGATTGCATGATATATTGGATTTTAACTCATTAAAACCTCCATTTTCAATGGATCCTTCGAGGATTTTCCAACGCCGGGTCCATGTTTGATCACCGCTGCGGGGGACTCCGACCAGTTCTCCACAAAGCTCTCCAGGTCCACGGTGTCACACTGGCAACAATGGCTTGCTGGGACATCCTCTCAAAAATGAACCTTTTAATGTGTATACATAATATACATAGCATATATATGTATATAGATATAATTTGATATGATCTGATTTGATATGATATGATATTCTGATTTTGTGCATAGATAATCTTACCAGAAACGATGATATAATGTATATATATCGTAATCATCGTGTGAATCAGTGAATATGTAATCTAATACAATCTATATATATATACAATAATCATATTTAATTGCTAATTACTTTCAAGGGTAGTGACTTCGGTCCAACGAAAGTGATCCAATGGCGCATTCAGGCGTAGCGTCCTCACATGAACACGGTTCAAATGTCCCCACGATATCCCCTTTCCTAGGTGAGCGATTCTTTTGCTATTTCAATGTATATATATATATAATTTATAATCTCTTCGATAGGTGGTTTGGCACCTATTCACTCCCCAAATTGGTAAAACACCTCGTATAACACAGTAATTACTGACTATACCAGTGACGTTGAGGATTGACTACTTAGACTTAGTCCTGCCCAACAACAAAAAATCATCAGGGTTGCTACCAACACTCCAGATATCAGGGAGGAAAATTGCGTCAACTAAAGGGGTCAAAACAGCAATTTCCACCTTTTCAGCCAATAATCTACCTCTGAGGTTGCACAACCCTGATCATCCTATAATTTTTCCTTTCCAACCCCCTCCCCAAAAAAAAAAAAAAACTTCAATTTTACCTTCTCAACCACCACAAAAAAAAGGAGAAATCTCCGCAGCGACCTTCGCATCCCAGATTCTGCGCGCAAAGGTGTGCAGGATTGGGTCAATGCCTCAGGTTTTTTGGAGTCAACTGGGCAGATCCACAAATAAACCCATATGATCCAGATTCATCCAGATTCCAGATCATCTTCCAGATCATGTTCCAAATCTTTAGATGAAAATGATCAACCAGGTTGATGTTCATCTGTTCATCTTCCTTTTCATCTATTGTTCCAGATCATGTTCCAGCTCGCTATATCACCAAGAAGGGCCGCCTGCGAGGTGACACCAGTCAGTGATGTTAGTTGGCTAACCAAAATAAGTATATATATATATATATACATGTTAATAGATATATATATATATATATGTATGTATGTATGTATGTATGTATGTATGTATGTATGTATGTATGTATACATATTAATAGATATATATATATATATATGTATATATATACATATATATATATATATTTATTTAGTTATGTATGTGTGTATAGGCATGTGTATATATGTATATGTATATGTATATGTAAATGTATATGTATATGTATATGTATACATGACATGCATATATATATATACATATATATATATATACATATATATACATATATATATATGTGCGTGTGTGAGTGTATATGTGTATATATATGTATGTGTATATGTGTATATATGTGTGTGTGCGTGTATGTATGTAAATAAATATATATATATATATGTTTATAAGTCAATATGTATATCTATATATGTATATCTATATATGTATACATATATATGTATATCTATATATGTATATCTACATATGTATATCTATATATGTATATCTATATATGTATGTCTATGTATATATATATATAGCCTAGTTATCCCTAGTTATTCCCTACAGAGTATTGTAGTTATTGTAGTTCTGTTCGCCAACACTACCGAACTCGGGCACCACCGGGCCCAAAAAACATCAGCAAACACGACTGCTAGGCTTCAGGCCAACTGTCGTTCCTGGACGAAAGTTGTGGACCACCTCCTTGTCAGGAATGAGGTTGATTCGCAAATGGAAAAAAAATGTGGATTTCACCAATTGAAATTGAGAGTCAGCAAACATTGTGATTTCACCAACAAGAATTGGAAATAACCAACATACAGTACATTGGGGTCTAACTCCCAAACTGTGGCTTTAGCAACCGCCAGAAAGTGCATTTTCACTGGTATCACCGGGAACCTTAATCACCACATTGCACCTATCCTATCAAAACAGTCACAGAAGCTCAAGCCTGCCCCTTCCAGCCAAATTTTACCGTCATCAAGCTGCAAAAAACAGCTCATATCGCAATGGTTCCCCATTTGGGGGGAAGAAAACATAAAGCTGCTTCGGAGAAAAAATGCTGGTAATATAATATAGACCTACTTCATAAAATGCGTACGCATATATGTCTGCATAGCATTTTAAATATATTGTATATATATATGTGTGTGTATGTACGTACGTACGTACGTACGTACGTACGTACGTACGTACGTACGTATGTATGTATGTATGTATGTATGTATTGTGTGCATAATACACATATATTGTATATATATATATATGTGTGTGTGTATGTATGTACGTACGTACGTACGTACGTACGTACGTATGTATGTATGTATGTACTGTATATTTTATTGTGTGCATAATACACATATATCTATATACACACATGATGTGTGCGTATGTCTGTATGTCCGCACGAATGACGCCAAGTGTTGCTGTTTCGCCTGTTGCACGAAGCCCGGCAAGCCCTTGAGGAACTTCCGCGAACTCTCCGACAACCTCCAGTGTCGATATCGTGTAGTAATGTATGCATGAATATATAACCCATATGCGAACCATGGTCCAATGGTGCTGGTATATTTACCATTATTGACCTACAAACTGGGTGATTTTGTGGCAAATGTTGGTAAATATTCCAGCACCATGGAGCATATAATAAAACATCGTATATTATTAATGCCCATGGGATATGATTAATAATATATTAAATATGTATCGTTGAAATTAGTTAAAACATCGTATCAATATAAGATTTACTTCGGAAGTATTGCATGAAAAAAAGGATCGGTGTTCGGTTGCATCGCCTTGTGCGCGATCTTAAAGACATCCTCCGGGGATCATCTGCAGATGAACATCAAGAACTTATCCAAAATCATCTCAAAACATCTCAAATTTTACTAAAACCAGGCATCTGAAAGCTGCACCAACGCAAAAAGTTACTCAGTTTTCCTCAAGCTGGAGCTGCCGGTGGGAAATGCCCATGCCATGAGTCCCTTTTCCTGGTGGAATCATATGGAAAAAATAAGGTTTTCTTGCTGGTTAAGCCACATCCTTCAGTTTTACTGGTTAATGAAATCATATGTCTTGCTGGTATCCCTACTGTATATTTTTTCAATTCTGTTCCGATAAAATGGTAACAATAATTGTACTGACTGTATCTAATCCCATACTTTTGAGGGTAAACTCATATTTTGATGGTGCATCCGAGACCAAAACCAAATCCGATCTGAAAATCACCTATTTATAGATGATTTTCCACATTAAGACCTCCATTGGTAAGGGATTTCCCGGCTCCATGATTTGTGGTACAAACACATCCACTGGGCACCCCTCACGACCAATTTTTCACAAAAGCCCTCAATTCGGGGTCACTGGGACCCTCTGCACCTTGGCAGCTGCCGAAGGTGAGCTCAGTGACCCAAATGTGGGACCCAGGATGTCACTTCGATGAGGTTTCCCCATCCACTTCTTGCCATGTTGGATGATCAGAGGACCCTGCACAATGTTTACGCAGTTCCGGTCAAACATGGCAGAAAACCCCTGTTCTATGATTTTCCCATTGAAAGCCTTCATTTATATATAGGGGACTTCCCAGCCACGGATGATTACCGGAGGGAAACTCCATGAAACTCACGTAAGCAGCAACCAATGAGTCCTTAAGCTACATGGATTGGGGGTTCATCAGCTAAACAGCAAAGTGATGTAATGGCCGCGCATGGCGCAGCATCATTTGGAGTGTTTTCTTGAATGAGCCTTGACAATGGACAATCGGAAAACATGGAAAAACTGCGTATGATTTTTTTGCTTGGTCACTTCCAATCCACTTGAAGTGATGTGAATGTCACAAAAGAGGACATGCAGGGCAAGAATACTTGTCTAATGGCACCTGGAATTGACCACAGTTGATGACCCTGGGACCCTGGGATGGCATCTGTGTAGTTTCTATTTCTGATCGATTTAGCTGGCCGAATGGTCACAATTCACTCTGAACATAGCTCTTATCATAGGGCCAGCTATAAAAATGATCCCCCTCAGGATTCCCATCATAAGATTTGTTTATTTAAAAAAAATCCAGTCGTCATGACCATGACTTAGTATAATAGTATTGGTTAAGCTATTTTTTGACAGGGGATCCCCCCATTTCCATTAAACCATGACTTTCGCTGAGCTCTCCGGACGTTTTCTCAGGGGCCGGGCCACTTCGATCTGCGAGCTGCGAAACGTCAGTCATTGGAGTCTCTTCCCATCCCCCATGGTGTTCCCTGGTAGGTTTATGATTGGCGCACAAGCGCCCACATGAAAAACTTGGTCATGTATATTCCATCAAATCGCCATGAAATCTCATGAAAATTCCAGATTCACCATTTTTTCACCATAAAATCACCATTCAGTCAACATTATACTGGTTGGTGGTGCAACAACCATCTTGAAAAATATGAGTTCGTCAATGGGAAGGATGACATCCCATATATTAAGGAAAATATAAATTGCATGTATATGATATATCTGGTTCGTGATTGACCTACCCCTCTGAAAAAATATGAAAGTCAGTTGGGATGATTATTCCCATTTATCATGGAAAATAAAAAAACATGTTCCAAACCACCAACCAGATATGATATAATATAACAGAGAGAGAGAGAGAGAATCCTTTTAGCCTTCTCATGGTACAGTGCCAATCCCATTTGGTTGGATCAACGATGTTGAGACATACCCAAGCAATCCCAAATAGCTGCATATCACCAGCTTTGTCACTGAAAAATGGAAGTGGCCATTTTAAAATTAGGGAGGAATAAGCAATATGATACGACTAAAACGGCGGGTTTGCCAACCATAACAATATAATATAATATATATAGTAGCACTTGAACGGACCAGCAGCGGAGTGCTCCCATTTCTGTTGGCTCACGCCCTCCACTAGTTCACAGAGCCTCGATTTACTGGACTTGTGCCAATTTTCTTGGGTCCCATGTGGCTACAGAATGGATCAAAACCCCGGTGAACTGCTGGATTTCATGTCCCATGCATATACGAAATTCCTACGTTTTGACCCACATTATGCCAGAGTTTTGAGAATTCTCAAAGCTATCATGGAAATACCTGGCCCCCATACAAACCCTTTTTTTATTGGGGCTCTAGCTGGCCCTAGACTTTAGTAACTTTAGTGGAAGTCAAAAAAACCCGGACATCAACGCAGCCATGGCACGGTCGGAGGGACGCTGGGGGGTGGCACCGGTGGCACATTGGCCACATGACCTTGAGCAGCAGGAGTGGGAGCTAATCAGGATTTCTACCAGCGAAAGATGTGATATTTCATCCATATGCATGTATATATATATATAGAGAGAGAGAGAGTTCAACCAAGAATCTTTGGGGTTCAATATGATTTAACAATAATTCGAATGATAACATCTCTTTTGCCAACCTGAATTCTTGACTTTACTCCCACAAGGCGTGCTTTTAACCGACAAAACATTGATTTACCAATAAAATAGAAAGTTTTGTAAAGAAAAATAGTGGTTTTTATTCTTTACCATGAGCAGAAATGGAGATTTATTACTGAGGCCAAGAATGTATGAAGATTGTATAATCCTTCTGAAAACGAATTATGAGCGGGATACAACCTTCAAATCATCACCCCATCACAGGATTCCCAACACGCTTCCCTGTAAACACAACCTCAATTGCGGGGTGAAGCACCATTTGCAGTAACCAAAAAGTTGTATTTCACGCCACAAATCGGGAAATGTAAGGACGCCTGTATCAGTCAGATTGCATACTTTCAGTTGGTAGGATTTAAGTTCGTACATGTTTGATTTGTACTACAAAAGTGCAAATTTTGAGCCAGACCTAGCCTATAGCCAGCAGATGCCAGCAGACTTTGATTGGCAGCAAATTGAACCAGCTGGCAGCCAACATTGAAATTCATGGAGCTCAATCTGCCGGAGCCAAAGGCACGGCCTTAGAGAAAAAAAACCCAAAGAAATTGCGGAATCCGAAATTGTTCTACGACCAAACGAACCGTTTCCCGTTTCCAAACAAATCATCCAGTTTCATCCAGTTTCATCCAGTTTCATCCAGTTTCATCAACCATTCACCCACAATTCACCACTCCCAGCCGGCCTTTGGGTGGCGCCCGACCTGGGCAAAACACGGACGACGCCGTAAGTGCACCGTTTGACCGTTTTCTGGTAGCCTCATATCAACTATGAGATTTATATGGAATCTTAATGGGATTTTAATGGGATTCAATGGAACTTGATGATAGTTACCCTCTTTTAATTCAACATGGCTATCGGAAAATGGCCATGTATAGTTGATTTACCTCTTAAAAATGGTGGATCTTTCCAGCTCGCTGAGTTGACCGGAGGCTATCGATTTCCAAGTCCATTGGAGTTTCCCGATTTCCCATGGCTGGGCGTCCAACTGCTGCATGTCTGGGGCCTCAGCTCCGGTTTTGACAGTCGGTTGGAAGATGTCGATTCGACCCGAAGCAAAAATCAACCGAAAACAAACCGGAGAGTAACCTTAGATACCCGCAAGAAACGATAAAATTCAGGGAAAAACAAACAAGCAAAATTGGGGGGGCTGGGATACCGGAGGCACTTTGAAAGCTATTTTTTGTGCCTAAAGCATTCGAAAGCACGCGTCTCAAGTTGACATTTCAATGACCTGAAGATCAAATTGCTGGCCTCTAAATCACCACCTCTCTCTCCACCAATTCGTTACAGGAAACCTTGGTTTTGAACGTTAAAAAACGGGGTTCGTATATATATATATACATATATATATATACATATATATATATACATATATATATATATTATATATATATAAGTGTGTGTGTGTGTGTCTGTATGTACGTATGTATGTACGTCTGTCTGTCTGTCTGTCTGTCTGTCTGCATGTATGTATGTATGTATGTATGTACGTATGTATCAATGCAATGCAATGCAATGCTATGCTATGCTATGCTATGGTATGGTATGGTATGGTATGTATAATATATATATATATATATCTGTGTGTGTGTGTGGGCAACCCTGTGGGTATGGGTCAATGTTTGAATGACCCTGTAAACCACAGTTTTTGACTTTTTGGGGCACCCAGTTTTCACCCGTAGCCTTTTTCGGTTCCTTGCAGATTTTCCCCACCGTTGATGGCTCTTAGGCATCGCCTTCACGGTTGCCAGTGACCACCACGTGAAATCTGCCATATGGATCCATATATGGGGTTTCCAATCCATGGGGGTAGCCCAATAGCTGGTTTAGAATGGAAAACCCTATCTACAAATGAATGATTTGGGGTTACCCCATTCTAGGAAACCTCCAATATCTCGAGTTTAAAAGAAATCACCATGTCAAATCCCAAACTACGCCATGGGATGTCCCATCGAAATGCCATGTTCCCCATTTCTGGGTCTCCCATTGGCTTCCCAGCTTTTTCAGTTCGATCGGCTCGGCCTGGCAAAAAAATGCCAGCCTTGGAAGACCCTTTTTGTGAAAACCATGGATAAATGAGATTTAACCATAGATTAAACCATATTATCATAAAATACAGAGATTTAACCGAGATTTAACCAAGATTTAACCATAGATTTACCATAAGATTTACTCAAGATAACTGTGAATGATAACTCTTAACTAAACTGCAGATTGGTTTCAAGAATCCCAAACACCACAACTGGACCACAACCCTGGTGATTTAACGGTCAAGAAACATGAATAAACATGATTCACCTTGGGGATTTTGCCAGAAGATGGGCTGTCTGATTAGTATGATAGTGCCTGGTCTAAATCAGAAACAAAAATATAAACAAACCATGTTTAGGAATGTTTGGGGTGACTCCCCCTCTTCACCATCAATTTTACCCAAGGAACATCTTAACGTCAACCCCTGTAAACCTGTTGTCACCAACCACGTTCGAAACCCGGGCTCCAGCTGTTTGAAGCTACTACGCTCTGCAACCAAGTTGGGTACCCTCTGGTAACTTAACATAGCTTTTGAAAAAGCACTACGTATTATATCCCTTCATTTCAATTTATAGATGCTTTGCGTAAATTGGTTTACCTCTTAAACATTTTGGTTTTATCTTAGATTACCAGAGGGTACCCTGAGGATTTTCCTGATTTGATACTTCAAGACCATCTGTCTTACCTTGATGCTTGTTGTTTTATAGGGGGTTCCCAGCATGGGTCATACTAATCTGCCCAGGCCCACAGAAAATGTCATGCAACCGCACCAACAACTCAGATCATCCCCAAATATCATCCAAACACCTAAATCCACAGGGATTACTGGATCATATTTCCACGTATCCACATACCCTCTGGTAAACTAACATAACTATGGAAAATCACAATTTTCAATGGGTAAATCAACTATTTCGACTGGGCCATTTTCAATAGCTATGTAACAAATTACCAGAGGGTATGTTCAGGCTTTGAATCCCATATGTGGATTTTCCAATCCATGGGGATACCCCAATAGCTGGATGGTTTATAAGGGAAAATCCGATCTAGAAATAGATGATTTAGGGGTACCCCCATTTATGAAAACCCCCCGTATGTTCATGGTATACCTACCCCTCTGAAAAATATGATTTCGTCAGTTGGGATGATGATTCCCAACTGAATGGAAATTCATAAAAGCCATGTTCCAAACCACCAACCAGATACCCTCCAGTAAATTAACAGTTCGATCCCCATTTAGAGGTCCCCCCATTTATGGAACCCCCATGAAACCCCAGCCATGTTCCAAACCACCAATCAGATATATTATCCCATTTATTATACAGTAGTTGATTTGGCTAGCTATAAATGCTGGATGTTCCGTTCCATATTTTTTGGTATGTTTATAAAACTATGCACATATATATATATATATATATCATATCTAGATATCCATTGATTATTTCCATATATCCATAGTATTTTTATAGATATATAGATTATTCCTATGAACTATGCAGATATACTATATACTATAGATATTCAATAATACTATTGCCATAGTTATACTATATATATGGGTAAATTATAATATTTCACTAACCTGAATTAAGGCCATTTTGGGATGATTCCTCTTACTAACCATGATTTCCAGTGAGGTCGCAGTGAGGTCGTTATAATTTACCCAGATATAAACATGCAAAATGCTAAGCAACAGTACTACCCAGAGATATATATATATATATGTATATATATATATATGCCATTAGTTATACCCTCTGGTTATTAAACATAGCCATGGAAGCCATGGCCCATTTATAGATGATTTTCCCAGCTAGAAACCTCCATTTATAAGGGATAACCAGATGGTAGTTCATATATCTTCCCCATATGTTCACGACTCCAGATCAAACTTCGCCGACGCCTGGGTCGAGCTCACGTCCGGCTCCATGTGGCCGCCCTGGGGCTGCGAATGCGTCACGATCTCCATGGTTTTCAGGAAAACCCATGGGAAACCCATGGGAAAACCATGGGAAAATGAGGATTTCGTGGGGGAAAATGAGGATTTCACGGGATTTGTATGGGAGTTTTGTGGGATTCATATGGTATAGATGGGATCTATATGGGAAAACCATGGAAAAATGGTGACTTCACCAAGAAAGTGAAAGATGAGGATTCTCATGAAATTTAGAGTTGATTTGATGATAGCTAAGTTGACTTATTACTTGATTAACGTTTGGGTTTATGGGTGATATCGCTCAAGTTCATGGGGGGTTCAGAAGGGCCTACATGGCCCATATGGTCATCTTGGTCATCCCATCCCGATACGTAATCATATGTAAGTAATTAGTTACTTATAAGTATACTTAAGAATATGGATGATTACATGTAACTAATTACGATATATATATATCCTTATATGTATATACAATCATCCTGAAGTAGAGAAAATATGGATGAATGATGAATGTGATATGTTCTATAATATGTCCATGTTATTTTTGGACTGTTTGCACCCCATGTTCTACTCCAGTTGACTACACTAATGAGTCATGGGGGAGCCAAGTCATTCTTAGTTATTAGTTACGTTGTTGTTTGTGGGGTCAACGCCCTGAGCCACGTGAGGTTTTCCATGTAACTGTTGCGTGCCCTCATTTCAGCATTTGACATGTTGCCCATGTTCACATGTACGTTGCAGATCTCGCTGAGGTGCAACAGGGGGGTGGGGGGGTGTAATAACGTCCCTGACGACTTGAAGACAGTTGCACATAAGGATCCATTTGACATGTTGCCGATGTTCACATGTACGTTGCAAATATTTGCAAATGCTCCCTGAAGTTCAACAGGGTGCGTGCAATAACAGATCCTGGTGAGCCATCGAAATCAGGAATTTCTCAGAGGTCGAAATATAGGAACTCAGATAGCTGACTCTCGCTGGAAGAGTCTTCAGTCATGGCTGTCTAAAAATGTCAAGACATTGTATAGAGGTCGTCTGAATGCCAAACTCCTGCTGTACGTGCGATCATGGCAGATCCGTTTCCAAAATCAACATAACTATGTACAGAAATTGGGTCAACTCTTCAAAACAAAGAATGGAGGCTGAAGACAAAGAACCGAAGAAGAAATGTGAGCTTTGAAAGCCAAAGTTGATCCGCTGTAAAGTTTTTTTCAGATGACCTGTGCGCCTCAAGGCGTTGTTCCCTACAAGGTGGTGCCCCTCAGTTGCTTCCCGTTTCATTGACAGACCTTAAAACTACCTCACGGTTGTAAAGCTAGGATCCATCCAGTCATGCAGTGCAGCACGTGGCTTTGTCTGATTTTTTGGGTACCCCCACATCCACTGATTTTGATCATCATGATATATATATATATATAACCATGTTGGTAGGTAATTTTCTTCATGACTTTATAGCCAGTTGGGGGCTCCCCTCGACCATGTCACGGTGAATTAAAAGGGCCTCTTTTAAACATAGCCAACCTTACCCTGCAACTACACCCAAAGTAGTAAACACAAACAAACTGTGTACCCGGCTAGTCTGTCTCCCAAAATCAAATTGGCAAATTTGGGCATTCAAGTTATCAAAAAATCAGCCAATGCATCAGATTGACACCAAAACTGATCTTCGGGTCCACTTCTACAGCCCCGAGGCTTGGCCTGATCCGAGTCCTTCGGGGACTCCAAAAGGTTCCATGTTTGGTTCATGCCTTGACGAGATTGAGATCTCATGGTTGGGAAATATGACAAAGTGATACAAAGTGCTATTGGGAAGTTGGGAAGCGCCTTTTTTACACCTCACAGTTGCAATTAATATCATAAGTGAATCATAACGTGTTGAAATTGATAAAATTTCTGGGATACTGGGGTTATGTCCTTTCCTGGCGATTTACTGTAAAGATCCTTTCAGAAAACCACCGAGTCCCGTAAGGGTTGGACCTTCCAGTCCCGGAGGAGGTGCGAATGGCCTCAGTTGTGATGCTTTGCCCCATACATTAGATCATTGTCCGAAGAAACCATGGGTTTTCCACATCTATATTAGTTTACCCTTGCGTGAGATATGTTCATTATGTTAAGATATCCTAACTATGATACAACAATTTAAGTCTAAGTATTCGGAGATGCGTTAAGCATTCCCAAAGATTTCCGGGTTTTTCTCTAACCTGCAGCAGGATACACGGTACTATATATATATATATGTGTGTGTGTAGTATATCAACCAATGCATTAATGTACATATATGTACACATATGGGGGGGCCATATGTATATGATTGCCCCATATGCATATGATTTTATGAACCAACTTAAGTGGGATTTAACCAACAGGTTGGAAATAACCAACTAGTGGTATGATGATATCAGTTTTATATTGTTTTATAATGTTTTATAATGTTTTATATAGGTATAATCTGCATCCGACCATTAAGGCCGGGGTAGACATCCCCAATTTTTTTAGTGCATCATTCCAGTGACCCAGAAGAGTCCGTCCCATTGGGGGACGCCGCTTTCCACTCGGAGCCAACAGCACGGGGCCGCCTTGGGAAGGCGTGAAACTTCGATGGATTTCACCAGCAATGTGGAAAAATGGGGGTTCAAGTGCGTGTCTTCAAGATCTGCAACTGAAGGCAACACAGTCGAGTACAAAGAGGATTGACAAAGATATCCCTTTTGGCAGGATGGATACGATATCCATATACATTTTATAATATATATATATATAATCATTATAATTATTAATTATTATTGTTATTATATACATATTACACATGTGCGAAAATGACCTACTGCATGCACATTCGCAACCAAGGTTTCTTTCTCTCTTCATACCCCAGGACGATAAATCTCACCAAGCAGCCTGTCGCTGGGTGGTCACTCTGCGGCCTGGTTCAATCAATTCCACAGGGAACCAAAATCATCCAAAATTGGGGAAAAAACACGAAAAATGCTCGTCCTTCATATCAAGGTGATCTATTTGAGGGTTAACCAGAAAAGGATATGGTGTTTTAATGTCTGGTTGGTGGTTTCAACCCCCTGAAAAATATTAGTCAGACTGGATCATCATCCCAACTATTGGGGAAAACAAAAAATGTTCCAAACCACCAACCAGATGTGGTGTTTTAATCGATTTTCCGGTGTTCGTCAGGTCCCTCAGGCCCGTGGACCCCCCAAAAAACATCTCCAAACGATCGAACTGCTAGGCGTAAATTGCACCTTGGAGCCTCCGTCTCCACATTGGAAGGCCTCAGGGTTGCCATGTGTTGCCACTCTCCAATGGATCTTGCAAGAGCTGCATGCTTTTGCCATAAATGGCCTGATGTTTCAAGAAATCATAAAGAAAACTTGCAACCTGTCCGACATTTGGATGGTAGAAAAGACACATGGAAAAGAAACCTGGGTTTTCAGCTACTCAGCTATATTATGCATTATTATGCTATACTTCTGATGGAGAATGATGGAAACATCGAGACATCTGCAGCCTTTTTCCATCGCGATGAGCGGCAGCACCTGGGTCTCGGATACAACACGTGGATCCACAGGAAGCCCTCTGGGAAGCCGCAGTTCGCCACACAGCCAGATGTTTCCGGCATCGCCGGATTTCCAGCGATCCTCAAGGTTTTGGCATCTCCTGCCGGACTTTGGCACAACTTTGGGTCAGATTCGCCCCCATCCCATTGCCAGTTCCACGTGTCAGGTTCAAGATCTCGAGGTACATCAGCTCACCGTAGTAGGTGACAAAGGTGCGAACCTGGGAGCCATGGCGACTTGGGGATTTGGGGAGCTCACAAAAATGGGGACTCAACCAGTAAAAATGTGGAGTTGGGGCTTAGCATTGTGTATAATATGTATAATGCTCGCAAGAAATATGCAAGAAAATATAAGAAAATATTTTTGTTGAGCTGGTTTCAGATTCCCATTGAAATGGTAAATGGTTAAGGTATTAAACTACACGACCAAGGTTTATGCGGTTGTGGAATGTCAATGAAAATGTGAACTGCTAAATATGGCTGAATGGATATGTGATATGAGATTACCAAAAGACTGGGATGACAGCCAGACTGAGTGTTCAATCGGTTTTCTCCACACCTGCGTTTGTAAACCCACATCAATGGCTGCAAATGATAGCATCACCCCCACCGGACAATCATCATTCGGGCTTTGGCCACTGCCATTCCTCACGTGAGAGTTGCCACAAATGTACGACTGGGGGTTGTTGAAACTGTTTCTCAAAAAAAATACCCACACCCTGCCACAATGAACTCACGAAAAATGGTAGTTTACCTGGGCGACAGCAAGTGCAAAACCCCATTTGTGGTTGGTCAAATCCCTTTTCTGCTGGCCTATATCCCCATACCTATTTGCTGTTCAAATCCCAATTCTCATTCTTTACTGTAAATGTCAATTTTGATCAATTTTGGATCATTTTGGCTGCTTTTATCCCAATTTCTCCTGCCGAAATCCTAGTTGTTCAAATCCCAAATTTTCTTGGTGTTTTTATCCCAAAATGTGTGTGTGCACCAAGTTTTTTTCCCAACTGCTGTTCTTTGAACCCCCCAATCTCGGTTGCTTACCCTCCAGTAAATTAACATAGACCCTGGTAGATAGGGGTTGGAAGATTAGTTTCCTCTAAAAATTGGTGATTTTCAGGGTCCAACTGTGAATTTACCAGAGGGTAATTCCCAATTGTTCATCCTTTTGACGCACTCCCCATGGTTTCTCATGGAGTGGCTCCATGGCGCGTCCCTTTTGGTCCGTGGTGCCGTGGCGCCGGGCACGTAGGGCTTCTGCGTTGTGTCTGGCCGGCTGCGCTTGAGCATGGCCTCCACGTGGAACGATGGTAATGGGATACAGCGGAAGCTAACCGATGTTTCATGGGATGTTGAAATCCCACTAAATCCCAATGTTTAATGGGATCTAATGGGATATGAATTTAAATCATATAATGACAATAATGATGTTGTTCAATCCCATTTTTCATGAAGCTATATATATATATAGTGGGACGTGTCAGAAGGGATTTCATGGTGATGAATTTTCAGGTGGAACACGATGGAACCACATCATCATGGTCATATTTCATGGTATATATCATATATGTGGTTCCATATGTGGTATACAATCCCATGGTCAATTCATAGATTCTATGATATATTTTTCATGAACCCTTTCATGGTATATAATATGGCAAAGCCAATAATCAACAATCCCCAAAATCACCATAGATGGGTTGTATAAACCATCCCCAGTCATGGTAGCTTCATGGCAGGGATATCATGGCTATCATGGAACCAAATATCCTCATATTAATGGGAATTCTAGGATCCTAAATTGCAGGTACTGTACCATATAAGGCCATATTTTGTGGGGATATTCCCTTACATAGGCCTTATATAGGCCTTATATATGTTAGGTACCTCCAATTTAGGATCATGGAATGGCCATTGATCATACTTTATTTGTGGGATTTCTGAGATATTTCTGTCATGGTATGAATGGGATATGGTCCTCCATCTATGGTATGTAAATCCTTGTTATATATAATGATATATATATATATAATGGATTGAATGGCCATGGGCATATAATCCAACTCCTGATTATGGCACATGTAATGACAATGGGATACAAATTGTTAGGGGAAATTAGTGGAATATAATGATAGAATGGCATATAGGGTGCTTCAACAATCAACAAAAGTGTGACTTATATTATAGGGTAGAATCAGCAAAATTGAACATTTTGTCCGTGAACCAATTCTTGGGGGAAAGGGATTTTCTGTTGACATTGGTTGGTCATTAACATCCTCATGCACTTTCGACTTTGACGATGGGGGTCTCAGTAACTTTCTTTGTGTTGCTGGTGAATTACTAGAGGGCATCGACTATCATAGTATCGGTTACCCTCTGGTAAACAACATGGCAATGGAAAATCCACCAGGTAATCAACACACCTGGCCATAAATAGTGGAAATCCCCATCGGCACGTTTGGTTACCAAAGGGTAGTAAGCTAGCCCAACAAAATGTAACCCACCCACATCGTGAAATCCTCCTATGATCTCCGGCCCGGGATGTGGTGAAATTTGGACCCAATTTTTGGATCCCCAAATATGTTGATTTAGATATATACCGATATACCCTCTGGTTAATGCCAAGTTAGGATTAATAATCCCCGCGGTATTAATCAACCCCCTCTGCCCATTTTTTTTTTGTGATTTAAAAAAAGGTGGTCCCCCAGGATTAATAAACCGTTTGGCTGGGACATGATTAATCAACCCCCTGTGCTGAAATCCATTTTTTTATTCAACAATTTTATTTCCAATTCTATTTATTTCCAATTGCTTTTTACCTCTTTTTTTATCATCATTGTTATACTTAAGGTTTAAGTTGATCATTGAAAATTTCAAAAAACAACTATTCCCCAAATGATCGATTTCTAATTAAAATCTTTATAAAAATCATCAGTTTGGATAGCTCCCAAAGGGTACCCCCCATGAGCCCATGTCCCCCATTAATAATAACCACGGTTTGCCCCTGATTAATCAACCACCTTTCTGATCCATGAGATTTTAACAAATCCAATGGAATTCTATTAAGATCTAATTGACGTAAGCCATATCCAAAGTTTTTTGGTTCAGAGTTGCTTATTATTAAGGGGCGGTCAAGAAAACTAGCCAGAAGGTCCGACTGACCTACCAGGGGGGGGGGTTGATTAATCCGATGTTGGCATTATTTAACATAGCCATAGGAAATTGCCCATTTATACTTGGTTTACCTATTAAAAATGGTGATTTTCCATGGCAAACTGTTAAATAACCAGATGGTGTCCTCATCGTTGGGGAGCCTCTCTACCATCCACACCGAAGCCGCGAGGCCTTAATGGTGCCGCTTTTGGAAGGTTGGTACGCCAACTTCTTGGAATAGGCCATCAGCAACTCGTAGAGGTAGCACCTGCGGACCTGGTAACCAGCCATCCAAGCCGTAGGCGCCGTAGCCCGGGAGTGGTTGCCATCCCAGAAGAATAGAGTAGTCTTACTATGTCTTACTGAATTGCGTTCATGATCTTGAAAAGACCTGCAAACCAGCCATCCAAGATCAGAAAACAGAAGACATAATAGACATAGACCAGAAATGACCAGAATCAACTGAATCAACCACATACAGCCACATAAACCATCATGGTTACCCACAGCATATCTTCGCAGACCCGGAGACCCAGAAACCAGCGCCTCGTGGCTCGTGAGCCAATCCCAGCGGCGTCGTGCGTTGCGGGGCAAGGCCTCCAAGGCACGCCAGTTCTTCTGCCTGGGTGACAGGATAGCACGGCCCAAGCCATTTTGGTGGCCAAAAATGGAGGAGTTTTAATGAGGTTTCCATAGTTTTCCCATGGTTTACACATGTTTTCGTGGTCAATTCACGATTCAGACGATGTCGAGTTGGGAAAAGATTTTAGACATTATGAAAGGAACAAAATGAACTTACTTTTGAAGCCATTCTTGTTCAAAACATGACCTGGAGATCTATTGCGGATCCCACCACCTTCCCACTTCGCTGAGTGACATCTGTCGGATCTCCTCTATGAAGTGTTCGACGTGCAGGAACTTAAAATGCACGTTCTCTTGAAAGGCCGCATAGGCCACCTGTGCCACCGCCTTCCGACCGTTGCTGAACATGGCCACCACCTGGGCAACATCCGATGGAAAAAACAGGGAATTTTTTGATGGGAAATGGATGGAGTCAGTAAATTAACGAATTAATATAAATTATAAATATATTTAAATGAGTTACACACAAGTGATAACTTAAACTAATTCACCAATGATGGAAAAAATGAGAGTGGCAGGTCATCTATGGAAAAATTGTGATAGTTACCCCAATCCTAACCACCATTTCAATGAGGTTCCCAAATTCTATCCATATCATATGATTAGTCGACCTTAAGAAATATGGAAAATAGAGAGGTTGATGGTATACTATTCCCCATCGATTCCCCCATGATCCCCAGGTTTTGGTGCGTTGTTCATTGCCCTAGGTCTCCACGATTAAAAATGGCGCAAGCGCCTGTGCTGTTTTCGTTGACACCGAGAAGCCACAGCCAAGACAACCAAGCACTGGGAGATTGGCCCAGTGCGAACCACTGCTTCATCCTCTTGGATTGATATAAACATGTGGAAGGTGATCATACAGGATGGGGCCCCCCAGTGATGTTTTTACGTTGGTTTATAAACCATGAAATAACCCCCATATCTGCCGTAAACATCCATAAACCATAGCTAAACCACTGAAAGAAGGCAACTTGGCTGTCTTGGGGGCCCCATCCTGTAATCCTTCAATTTATCCAGCACAATCCATCATGATATCACTAGATAATCACTATATATATATATATCCATCGCAAGTAGTGATAGTGATGATATTGTGATTATTTAGTGACATGATGGATTCTCTGGAATTCTTAAACATGTTTTCGGAAAAAAAAAATGTCATCCTTCCATCGATCTCTGCCAACACACCGAGTTTGAGGAGAAGAACTGCAAGACGCGGCCTGTGTAGCTACAGCGCCTAAGCTAAGAAGGCTTGATCTTCAGGGAAAATCCCATGGAGAACTGGAGGTAGCCCCATGACTGCCATGACTCAGGAACTACTTTCCGTGTCTGTTTAAACGAAAAATTCATGGGTTTGTCTGAAAATGTTGGGAAAAGCCCTAAAGTCCCATTTGAGGACACGCCCCATTTTGCACAATCAATGCCCACGAAGAGCCATTTGGTGATGTTACTCTCTCCCGTGCAGAACCGAAGAGCCGAGTACATGATAAGGACTTTCATTCTCCCATCCTGGGTGTTACCATTGTTGGAAATCCCACAACCATGGAGATGGTTCAAACTCTAAGGCTGTCAACGAAACCCCAACGTGGCGTTCTCATCCCATCCCGGGCATCCCGGGCATCCCGGGCATCCGGGGCACGGAGCGGTTGTCGCTAAGAAGCAGTATTTGAACTGTTCCTGCAGGGCGCAGGGTGGGTTTTCAGGGATTCCAAGGAGCTGATCGATGGTGGCTAAGACCGCCAACTACATCAACTTGGGAATAGAACATGTCCATATTCCAATGAGAGGTTGCACGTCCTAACTATGCTTGAGGGAGGCTGCAGGAGATATCTCCCCGATTCTATGGGGAAAAAGTCCCCAGTCTTGAAGCCAAGAAAATGTTATTTCTGGTGTGTATGCCGCTAAATCCCGGCAACTTGCACCTGCCAACACCCCAATCCATCTAACCTCTCTTTCTTTCTCTCCCTCTCTCTCTCTCCCTCCATCCATCGGCATCTGTCAAGGCTGCAGGAGGCCGTCTACTCCAAATCCTTTTTTCTGAAGTGGTAAAGTCAAGTCCCTCAATGTCCCTCATATTTTTTCAAAAATCACAACTGGTGGCAACTGGTAAAACTCCAGGCGAATCCTTGGATTTTTCTGATAACACAGGTGGATCTTCGGCACATGTACCAGGCGCCTCAGAAGGCACCCGCTGTGGCATCAACTTGGCCAAAGCGTTGAGGAGGTCAGGAGGCCCCTCCACATTGGTTCCACCTTGGGGCACTTCGGCAACCACGGGGATTGTGGGGATTCCCGGGGTCCCCACATAACTATTAGAAAATCTATGGAAAATTATGGAAAATGAATGAAAACTATGGAAAAAACATGACACAAGCGGTTTTTCTAAAACATAACTATGGTGAAAATGGATGGATTGTTTTGACCTACAGTATTTATATTCGATTTAGCGAGAAAAAACCTGCTGATTTCCATAGCAAGCTGTTTACCGGAGAGTAACCGACGGACGTGTGGCTTGGCCATGAGTTTTGGCGACAGAAATGGGGCCGTAACATGATTTGGCGAGTGAAAATGGTGAGTTTTGCTCGGTTGGGAACTGGTTACTCCGCCAGGGCTGAGGTGTTTGTGAGGGGGAACGGCCTACTCTTAGATCTCTTAGATGGATGCATCATCTGCAAGGGGCCCATGATCGCAGCAAACTGATCCGATAAAATGCAGGCTTCGTCATTACATTGGGCTTGTTGCGTGGCTGCGCGCGGGGTTTCATATCACTTCTTTGGCAGGAGATCATATATCCTCGTGTCCTGACTGAAATGTGGAAAATACGATGGTGTATTGGTCCAAACAAAACTGTTCATGAACCTTCCAAAGAAAGAAAGGTTGGGCCAGTCGTGGCAAATTGGCTGCCAGCAGGTTGGCTAACCGTCTGAGAGACTTCTCCTTGCACTCCGGTCATGGCATCTCTTGGCACTGCCCATGTCGGTTTCAATCGCCTGTTTTTGGTTTCAATCGCCTGTTTGATGCAATTTGTGCACCCAACCTATACTCAACATGCTCATGAACGGTTTGGCGGCGAAACTAGCCCAACATCACCAAAAAGAAAAGGTCTGCTGAAGCAAACGCAAGCGCACTGACGGATGCATTGATCACATCCTTACCGCAGTGAGATCTGACAGGCCCCCCATTTTTGCCCCCCATGGACCGCTGACCCCCAATTCATCTTGGGGTTGAATAAAGGCAAATCATTTAACCACTCACAACCACGTTTGAAAAGGGCGAATGTGAACCGGCAATCCCCGGGATTCCCGGGGAGGTGTGTCGTTACGTTGGGTGGGCTTATGACTTATGACAAGTTCCCATGATTATATCGCCGCTATGATGTTCTATCCATGATTTATCCAAAATTAAAACTATGATTTATGATATCACCAAAACCAACTATGGCACTATGGTTCAGTTTGGGTGATATCATAAATTCATATTAATTCGATTCCCAAGTGCTTGTGAAATCCCACTGGCTGAGTCTAACTGGGGACCATCCCCTCGTCGTAAAAATCCCGTGTCAGTTGGTCTAACTGAACCCTCCATGTTCAGAAAAGTTCCACCCCATTTACAAGAAACAAAGGTGTTGATATTAAGATACATTAAGAAGCATAATTCAGTAAAGCAACAATCCCATTAAGAAAAATAAAATATTGTCAACACCTTTGATACTAACACAAGATATTCCACTTAGGAACAGATCAGAACATGATCATAAGATGGCCAATCTGCTAGTCCACAAAATATTCTAATCTGTGCGCTTTATGCTTTATTTTAAACGTTTATAGCCCCCAAAAAAAAAATCCAAGGATTAGTTTCTACCCATCGGTTGGGGCTTCTCGTTCTACCCATCGGGCGAGCCCCGCTCTCCGAGTGTCAGGGTGCTCCCGGGATGCCATTGGCATCAAAAAGCGGGGGCTTTTCCTCCTGGATAGCTGGGCTATAGCTGGGCGGCGAGGGGGAAATCCCCAAATCCATCGAAAAGATGAGATTTTCTGGATGGGAAACTCATATCTTGGTTGGGGGATTTTCCAGCTGATGATTCAGCGGATGAGTTTTTCCAGCGAAACATTGGTGCGGATGGGAAATGCTGCAGATTTGACCTTCAACACTGACAGTGTTGGTGTTGAAGAACACCACCGTAGACTCAAAAAAAAAGGCATTGAATCAAGATTCCCCAGCCGGAATGGATGGGATTAATGGGATTCCAGCAAGCCCCAATTGATATGGGGACGACCATTCCCGTTGATTGGGAAATAAACCGTTATGCGCATTATGTTGACCATGGCACTTATGATAAATATCTTATCTATGAATATGACCATATGACCATCGTGAATGGGCTTGATGCATGTTCCGATGGGAACATAGTCATACATACATTATCCTGATCTCTTCTCATTGCTCCAAATACCATCTGAGAAGGTGTCTAAACACCCAAAAGAAATAGAGTCTCAGATGTTGTTTGGAGCTGTAGGGTCCATTCTTGAAGATATCCGAAAATCATGATTAAGTGATGTTCATCACAATCAGTAGAGATGGAAAGTGCCCGAGAAAACCTCACTAAAAAACCACAATGGATGTCCAAACACAATTACATGTTCATTGGTCAAATCCTTATGCTTTATCATCTTTGATGGTCCAAAATTATTTTGGGTGTTTTCCTGGCATCCCTAGTTGTTCATGTTCAAACTATTTCAAACTAATATGTCTCAGCATCTTAAATGCTTAAATCCCCATGTTTCATGATTAAATCAGATGAGAAATTCCAGTTCTCGTTGGACAAATACCATTTTTTTTCTCAATTTTTGGGCTGGTGAAATCATGACATCCATTGAAATCCCCATTTTCCTCGGGTTTTCCTATGGTTTTCCCATCGGATGGACCCTCGCCCTGGCGGTCCAGTCACCACATCGATTGGCAGGTCGCGCCCCGCCACGCCAAAAGGCCACGTTCAGCTTCTCCGCGTAGGGCATGTCGCTGTCGCGGACGACTCGGTGCCGTTGAACGCAAGGACCCGACAAGCTGACAAATGGATGGCTAGTGTGTATATATATATATATTTATTTATTTATTTACTTATTTATTTATTTATATATACATATATATATATATATATGTTTGTATGTATATATATATATGTGCCATATAGGTCATAGGTCGTATGGGTATAGTATATGGTAGTATACATGCAACATTGTGGATGTGTTCTATGTTTATCAAATTGGTTGATCATGGTTTATCCAATTTATGGATCAAAAAATAGACCATTGACCTACGAAACAACGCCCAGCCCAGAAAAGAACCGAACTTTGGGTCTGGGGGACTATGGGACGAGTTCGGTCAACATTCTGTGGCCCCGTCCCTGCTCTCTGAATCGATAATGCCAAGGATCACAACTGGTGAATCAGCCTGGTAATCGGATTCGTTCCCTAATCAATTCATCCCCCTCTTTCTACACGGGTTATACATCTATGTATGTATATATATATATAGTCCCTTAGAAATGCGTGTCTTATCCCGTCTATAAATGGGTGAACCAACAAGTTGCCGTCAGCCTCCACCCGCCGAGCCACTGCGCGTCACCTCCGGTCGCACCCCGGGGGGCAGCGTGGCGTCGCAGTACTGCGGACCGCTGCCGCTGGAGAAGACGAAGCGACCGGTGCAGGGGCCCGGCTTCTTGCGATCTCGGAGGAGATCTGGACTTGGACTGTTGGGATCAATGATCTCAGGGGTTTTTCATCATGAAAAATCATCATTCACCAATTAATCACCATAAAAATCATCCACATTCTAATCACCCATGACTAATGGACTCTAATGGTTGATTCATGGGTGATTTTTTTGGATGATTTCTATTGATTTCTGAGGATCAACATGGATCAACAACGGAACGGAGATGGAGATCTGGACTGGACTGTGATGAGGATCAATGAGGATCAATGAGGCAACTCATAGCCATATGGAGATCTGGATATTTGATGATTTTTCATGCTACTGCTGAGGATTTACCAGTAGAAAATTACCAGTAGAAATATAGGGAATGAACTTCGTTGCACGACAAACATGGTAAATTTTACCAACATGATTCAATGGGGCGATTCGGGTGCAGGGGATGGAGATGTGCATTTTGAACAAACAAAAGATGTATCTCCATGTGGGTTGTGCTGGGATAGTTCAAGTTAAATTTTCGGGATTGATGTCCCACCGTCCCACATGATATATGGAGGGACTTCACCAACAGAACATAGATAGATTGATTGGATTAGATTAGATCAGGCTAGATTGGATTAGATCGGATTAGATTCGATTCGATTAGGTTTAGCTTTAGTTTAGATTGGATTTCATTAGATTGATGCACCCAGATCCAAAAACCTATGGTTTTCCCACCAAAAACACCAAAAAGTTTTCCCACCGGTTTTCCCCATGTTTTCGACACAGCACCCAGCAGTGGCAGGTCAGAGGTGTGCGCCACGAATTCCACGTCCAGGGCCGCGGAGCCCTCAAGGGCCGCGGCCTCGGCGATGCTCAGGAGCTGCGGCAGGAGCGCAGTGTGCAGGGCCCTTGGCGACTCGGCGCAGTGTCCATGGTTTTTGGCCAATTTTGCATGGGAAAAAAACCTGGAAAAATGTGGTTTTGTATGGTTTTGTATGGTTTTGTATGGTCTTATGGGGTTTTGTATTATGACATATTCTGATCTGATATACTATGATATTGGTCAATAGGCCCCCGCTGGGCCCCTGCTGTGATGTTGAAATGAATTCAAGCCAAAAATGGAGACTCAAACTTAAAACAGCTTAAAACCATATATATTAATATAAATATGGAGAATATACGTGTTATATAATATTTCATATATTATGTATGTATGTATGTATGTATGTATGTATGTATGTATGTATGTATGTATGTATGTCTGTCTGTCTGTCTGTCTGTCTGTCTGTCTGTCTGTCTGTATGTAGGTAGGTATGTATGTATGTATGTATGTATTACCAGCTATAGAAGGTTAGTTTTACCCGCCCAAATAGTGATTTAGAGCCTCAAATGTTGGGAGCTGAAGCAGCTGAAAATTGGGGATGTACTGCAATTTTGACACCAATCAATGCACTTGGGGGGAGCATCCCAAACAGTAGCCATCTGCAAATCTCCATGGTTACAGTAAGTCCTTGGTTCCTCGGGATATCAAGTTGAAAGGTGGGATGATCCTCGTGTCTCTTCCCGGCCGGCCATAATTACCTGATATATACCTGATATCATACACACATGGCACATACATGTACATAATACCTCCTTATTCCATACCATCTTGTCAAGTCCAAGGCCCTAGACGTGAAAAATATTGAAAAATCCCCAGCCACGCCCAGCCAGAGGCGGACATCGTGGGTTTTTCCCAAGGGGCTTGTCGAGTCCTTCGGCGTTGACGTTTGAATACCTCACCGGCTCTTCAAATTAGTTGGCGTCCGTTTTTAAAATGACGATCGATCGAATCCTAAAACGGGGGCTTCTATGTATCTTCGGTGGTAAGGAGTATATACTGGGTACGAAGTACGTAGATTTGATTGGATAATGCTGTGTCTTGTTGTATCTGCATATCCCTTGACACGTAAAGAAGGACGTGTCAAACGCACCCATCGAAGTCAAAGAGATGGCCGGAGTATGAGGTTACAAGTCGAAAGGGTTTTGGAAACCAGGCCAGAAATCCGTGCTATCGACTTTGGGTTCATGAATTCTGAGTAAATGCTATTTGGAGATGATTCCCCTTACTAATCATGATTCCAGTGAGGTCGTAGTGAGGTCGTTGTAATTTACCCAGTTGATCCATCACTGATGGAGATGTCCCTTTCAAAACATCCATTTTCGAAGCGCCACATCAAGGTACACCAGGAAGACCTGACCCTTGAAACTGCCCAACAATGCTTCCTTGCCTTGGCGGAATCCACCATCCACCATACCATGACTGGGGTAAGAAGATAGGCGAATCATCCCAGATCATCCCAGTGGGTTTACGGCTGACTTACGGCATCATTTGGCTTTACCGCTTTACTAACTTTACCCAAATGTATTTGTGATGGGCGGTTGAATCGTGGCAAGACTTGGAAGGCCAACATAGGCCAACAATACCGGAGGATGGGAGTCTCGTGAGGTTTGGGGACCTACAGGATCTATCCTACCTGTCCATGGTTGTTGTGGAGGTTCCCAAGCTTGAGCAGTTCTGACAGTTCATAACATGATTCGAATTGTCTATCTATCGGCACATGTTACACGTTGCGGGAAGTCCTCAAAAATATCAAGAAATCGGATGGTCAAAGGATCAAACACGATCAAACCCAGTCAGTTTCCTCTGGTGCTGATTTATCCAGTTCAACGGTCGTCTGGTTGACCCACACCACAGGATACCACAGGAATCTCTCGCAGCCTTTCACGTGGTCAATGGGATATGAGAAATGTGACTCAGCTTCTCCATCGTGCCCCTAAGAAGCTTCAAACAAATATACCCGGTCAATGGGCAATTCGCCGTCATTCTCCAGGGAAATCATATAATATAGTATATCAACGGGCAAATGAGAGAGAGAGAGAGAGAAGTGAAAATAGTCATCATTGGAGTCATTGCAGTCATTGGAGTGGGGAAAATCTTCGGAAACGGGCACGGTATTTTCCAAAAACGGCACGGGGTGACCCGGTGAACATTTTAACCGGTGACCAAAAACGGCCGGCGGCAGCCATGGCACGATCGATGGGCAGATCTGGCAGGGGCTTCTGCTGGCTCAGCATCACCTGGGCAACACGACAGCAACAGAGTCTCGGCACCGTCTCGGCATGTCTCGGCCCTTAACCGTCGGGTAAGTAATGGGAGTTCGAATCGAACTATGTATGGGGAGTTGTTGAACCCAAAATCTACAACTACATCACTTTTGGGTGCAACCCCGAAGATCCCTGAAATGTTGAGCCGTTTTGAAGTGCTAAGTGTTGCACAAGCAAGGATTGAAACCAATATGAATGGCGATACAAGAGCAAACGTCAGGAGTAGATGAAGAGTTCGGCAACTACAAATGATTTTTTCTGACCAGTGCTTATGGGTTCAGAACCCAGAATTAGTGTCTCGTTTTTTGGGACTCCACAACCTTGGACCCACCGTGTCCAAACGTGCACAGTTCCGGGATGGCAAATGGCCGAGTCACCTGCGACGGCAGCACGCTCTGGTCCTTCCATTTGCCCATGTCATGGTCCTTGGTGACCCCCAGTGCCCACCATCACCATCATCATCATCACCATCATCATCATCATCATCATCAACCTACCAAGCAATGGCTGGCAGAGACACCAGCCAAACATCCTGGTACTGTGCCACCTACCTCCGGCCAGGAGTCTATGAATTTGAACATATCGCAAGGGGGCTTCAAGAACTCAGCACCGCACCGGCCTCACGAACATGAAGCAACAAATGGCGAATTTGACCAGCTAAAAGCACTAAAACTTGCACAATAGGGCCTAAGGGGGCTGTAGCCCCTGGAAATTGAAGTGTTTGGAATTCTACTTAAAACATAGCAATTTCCAGCCGCAGATTCGAAACGAAATCCCCTTCAACGCTTCCAGTAGGAAACCTGCAACTGCGGGCGGTTTCCGCCCAGCTTTGGTGATCTTTGTGGATTCAGGGCGCTCAAACAATCTTCAACCCCCAGTTTGTCATCATTTTTATATATGTATAACCTCCCCCAGATTAACATAGATACCATAATATATCAATATATATCATAGAATATCATAGATACTGAAAATCACCTATTTTTAGTGGAACCTAATCTTCCAACCCCCAGCTATCCCCAACTCATGACAGGCTCGAGCTGTGGCCTTCGGCCTCGACGGGGACTTCTTCGTCAGCTTCCCAGCTGGGACTTGGAGGCTCCGGAGCCTGTGGCGCCGCCAAAGGATTCGTCCTGGATACCCGGCCTGGTAAACTAACAGGTTGCTATTGAAAATGACCATTTTGTAGTGGATTTTCCCACTAAAAATGGTGATTTTCCAGTTCGCTATGTTAATTTACCAGAGGGTACCCATCAGGAACGGTGAATTTTGAATGTCGGATTTCGTCCGCTTGAAATGTTTTAAGGAGAGCCTACCCAAAGAATGAAAAGCTTTGGGTAAAATGAAGGGATTTGGGCTGCGAAAAACATGTGCGGAAACATTCGAAGCCAACAAGCATGGAAAGAGGATAAAATGGGGAAATTTCGGCAATGACGGGGAAGATTCATTGATGGGAGGGTTTTCATCCAAAATATTGTAGGGTCAATGATGATCATTCCCAAACTGGAGAGAAGCAACCAAAACATCGTGGTTTTGTCTTGATTCGCCCTGTGAAAATGACAAATTGTTGTATCAATGGCTACATGTTCAAGCAAAAATCCTAAGACCACAAATGTCCGCCAAAATGAATGGGAGAAAAATTGCCATCTTCACCTAAAAAATGCAGTAAAAGAGGTGTCTCCTGTTCAAACGACAGAAATGGATGAAATGGTCGGAAGTGGTGTTGCAACCAAAAAAGATAATATGTAGTGTGACCACAAAACAAAAGCTGCTTTCACCCACAAACATCCGGTTGCAACCCAAAAAATGATCTGATATGAGCAAGACAAAGTTGGGGGATATGAATGGCAAACATTGGTAATATATCGCAGTCCATAATCCATACAGTACTACTTGTGTAGTTGCTGGTTGTGGAAATGCAGGATAGACAGGATTCCCAACGAGCCATCTACTCCAATAACCACAAAGGCCTTGATCAAATGAAACAATTCACCTATGACGCTTCCCAGGCCCCCTGGAAAGCACTTAAAAGTCATGGGGTTTTCCATGGTTTTCCAACCCGCCAAAGATGAACCGAAACGACTCTAATTCACTGGTGTTCCTTTGAGGATCGGATACCCAAAAAAATCCAGTGGTGTGTCGACTGGTTTATCCTCTATCAGATCTATCATCATTTCCCGCATTCAACGGCCGTTTTTTTGGGGGGTCAACCCGCGCACATCCCCATAAAATCAGCTGGTTAAATCCCATAAAATCTCCAATAAAATCTCCAAAACTATCCCCATTTTTGTTGGGTGATGTTCCCCAAAGTTCCCATATGTGTCATATGTTCCCATTTGTTTTTAGTTATTTCGATTGTAGCTTATTTTCGCAGATGATTTCCCATCTTCCAGCTCCAAACACCTTCACTAGGAAGTACAGCGGCGCCAGTGCAACGGCACAGCACAGGAGCACCCGACGCATCCCAACGCCGCGATGCCATGGCGAAGGTCCGAAGTTCCGGGTGAGTTTTTTCGATTTGCCGATTTTTGATGTAGATCAGTGAGGTATGATGTTTGAATATGTTTGAATTATATTTTGAGTTTCTTATTTCTTGATTTTTGATGTTGATTCTATTTGTTGAATATGACTGAATGTGTTACCGTTGAAATCTTTCGAAGTAGATAGCAATCACCCCCCAAAAGAAGATGGAAAAAAAGGCTCCATCGACGGCTTCGAAAGTTATTGGAATGTTGAGCCTGCGGGCTCGAGATCGGGCAGCGCTTTGGCGTCTCCAAAAAAATGGCTGCTAGACTTCACCCCAATCGTTCTGCCCGTTCTACAGCCTTTTGCGTTGAAATCGTTGAAGCATGACGGTATCTACCGAATCATGAGCAAGTGGCTTGGCTCGGCTCCCCGAGCTAAAGATCTTCAAATTCCATTGGCCCAGTGGTCGTTGAACCACTAATCAAAGTATGGATTGATTCATGACCCTCCCCTTGGCCCAGCACTTTCCAAGATCTCCACTTGGATGTGCATCCCACTTGTAGTAATAAGTGGTTTATAATGAATATGTTATATCACCCAGACAATCCCACATATAATAGGGGATTTCCATGGATGTTCCATATTAACTTAACTGGGGGTATACCTGTATACCGCATTTGCTAAGTGGGGCCCACACCCCCAAGCAGTCCCCCCCCCCGGGCGGCCCACGTCGGCTCCGACGGCGGCAACGCCATCGACGCGCGCTTCTCGGCAACCAGCCACCACGTAGGCAGTTCACCTCGGCAGCAAATCCCACTACAACATGTGTACACACACACATGTGTGTGTGTGTGTTATCTGTTATTAGTAAATCTCATTCGTAAATCAGTAAATGTCATTCGTTTTTGCTCTTTTTGGCTGGAAAAAAATATTCGTAAATCTTGTCCACAATCTTCCACCTCCCAGGCCCCAGCTGTACCCACCCTGCGTCAAGCTGCTGGTGGAATACTCGCTGTCCCATAGGACCTCCGCATGGAGTCCTGGATGAGGCCCATCCGCCTTATGAAAGACGCGCCTCACCTGGGACGAAAGTTTGGGTTTCTTGGGGCAGGATCTGACCTCAGAGGCTGCAAAAGCCTACATTTTTGCTAGGCAAAGCACGGCAAAGATGGAACACCGGATCTGTTTTAAGAGGAAAACCCTGTGAAAACATGAAATATATTGAAGGGGGCCCGCAACACCACTTTTCAGAACGGGTAAACAATCTGGACCAACGGGCACTGGCCCAAAGAACATGAACCAAAATTTAAAAAACATTCATCATGCGAGAATCATCTAGATTTCATAAGATGGATAGGGTTCCATTGCTGTTGCAGATTGCGGGAGGGTAGATAAAGCAGTGGCCAAAACATCCAAAAACAACCCACATTTTTGAGAAATGAACCAACAAAACCTTCTGAATTGATTGACGGATAGATACGGATAGGGATGTAGATAGACAGGGCTCCAACGAACGGTCGGCCAACTGGCCACGCATGGTTTGGCCGGATTCCAGTTTAAAACCATGGCATTTCAGGGTCGATCCCCGCTTTCCCACTTTGAAAGGGAGAATTTGCAGGAAACCCTTGAATTGTGCTGGTCAAACCCCAAAAATATGAAAACAAGAACAAAAATATATACTACATTTGTTTTCCTCAATTGAATCACCGACGTCGTGCTACCAAACCAAAAGGTCCAAAACCGCCCTTGGCCAAAATGTGGCCCCGCGCCGTCGCGGTGTGCCACCTCATTGGGGAGGTGCCACGATATAATTTAATCAGCACTGCTTCACCATTTCAGGCCGTGCTGAACACAACAAATATAATGTGGGAAGTGGGAAGCGTAATGATAAACTCATGGGTAAACCATCTCCAATATCCCAATTTTTAGCAGACATTGATAGAAATTGGTGGCTTTTGAGCCATCCAGAAAGGTCGGCTTCCAAAAAAATGGCTCACTGAATCTATTGTTCACCCAGAAATGATCCAAAAAGATGGAAATGCGGGTACTCCATGCAATCCTTTTGGTTTGGAAATCAGCATCACTCAACCCACTTTCAGGTGCTGGCTCCGTGTAGAACCACGCGTGGACGCGTTCGTTCTCCTGGCGATTCGTTCTCCCAGAGATCTCAGGGACCATGGCTTTACCATATCATGGACGCCAATTATATAAGCATGTTCAAAAATGTCATCCCGTACTGGTAGGGATTTCCAATGATTTCCAATGATTTCCAATGATTTCCAATGATTTCCATGATCTCTCTTAGTATTTTTGTTGGAAATCCCAAAAAGATAGGAAGCTGTTTCCAGGATGTCATAGATGTCGTTTCCTGCACAATTTCAAGGTGTCCAACTTTTCTGTTTAGGGTTGCTAGATAGTAATCCCGGAAAAGATAGACATGTGAAATCAGACCCCCAGGGTAGGCTGGACCGGTCTGCGCCTTTGGACTCCACTCCTGAACACGGAACCGGGGTTCCCAAGCTTGCGGTTTAAGGGGAATCTATGGAAAGGCGCAGAAACACATCTTTCAGGGGAAAGAATGATGATGATGATGATGATGATGATGATGATGATGTATGATTATGCTTTCCTTTGGGTGAACTCACTTTGAGGGAAAAACCAAAGGGATCAAAATTGAGATGCTTGGAGGCAACAAACTCCAGGGAAGACTTTGGTGACATAAATTCTGCATGGCGGGCTGGTTGAGATTCCCGGAAAACTCAATCTCAAATCCCTGCTGTCAGTGGGTCACCAGTTTGCCAATCGATAGCACCAAAATGGTCGAGGGATCGCCTTAATACATCCCGCAAAAGCCACCAATCAGATGCCAAAGGAAATTGCATTGAATTGAAGCTTTCATATCTTTCTTGTTGGATGCCGAATTTTTTCTGCACAGCCGTTGGCGTCTTCTTGACAGAAGCTCTTTTTAAAGACCCAGCTTATCCCAGCCTGGTGCATGATTCACCTGACGAGACACTGGGTATCAAGAAGGGATGGTTTCCCACAAGAAATGGCCCCATCTTTGGGCCCAACATGGCCCAACTATGCCCCCGTTCTTATGAAAGTGGGACACGGCAAGATGAAGCAACGTGGCTTCCATCGTTTGGCCCTCGAAATCTATCAACAAATGGTGCAGACCACCTCTACTCACTTCGTAGCCATCCAGCCTTCCAAGGATGTCAAGGTGCACGGGCGCACTGGCAACCACAGCCTCTTCTTCTGTTTTGTTGATTGTGCGAGCCGAAATACGCAGCGGTTGTGAATCTGGCGTACCCAACCGGGTTGCATGGCAGGCAAAATGCACCATGTGCAGGTGATTGAGGGTAGCTGTACCCGTTGCCCCGGCCCAACAGAAACGGGTGAAAAGGATCTCAACACACGATTCCCTCCAAATATTAAAAAAATATGGCTCATGAAACTGGGCAGAATTGCAAATAACACTCCAATAGAACTATAACAATGATAATTGTATTATAGGTTATATTACTATATAATAGTTACAATATAACAATAGTACAATATTTATTATAATACAAGATCATAACTTATAACCTACAACAATGAGGTTATAAAACTAATAATCATAGTATACCATAATTCCCAAACCATGGTCCTCTTTGATAACCATCATTGGTGAGCTCATTGTGATCACGAATCACGGCAAAAACCGCACCTATTTTTTGCATGGCGATCCGGGGGGTGCGGCTTGGGCGGCTTGTGTTTTGTGCACCCATTCTGAACGGGACCCGAAGAAGGGGACCTCTATCACAATCATTTTTGGAATTTGAGCATTTTCCATGTTTTCCCATGGTAAAGCTAGGCTTTTATAGATGTAAAAGATGTAAAAGCGCTCGGACGCCTAGGGAGATAGATGGAGATAGCCTCAGGAGATCCTTCTCTTGCAGTGGTCCCATGATTTTCGAACGCGACTGCTGCCTTCCGCTGCACCCTTGTGCAGTGAACGGAGCGAACGTTGAACCATGCTGTGTTGATTCATCTGTGCTCCAGGTGGCTCTTCATCTCTTGATGTTTGGATATGTTTGATACTCACCCAATGTTTGGTAGATGTTTGGAGTGAAAATGTGAGGGGGCACTAAAATTCTAAAGTTCCAGCAGTGCGAGGTCGTTTCTTTGAGGGGCGTCGGCTTGGTACATGTCATCCTTTCATATCCTTTACCTATTGGTCCTATTGGTTGTTGGCTTCGAGGTTGCCACTCTATACATCTCTGTGCTAAAAAAAGGACAAGAAATTGCAGAAATATTTCTAAAAAATTGCTACAAGAAACTGCTTAAAAAAGGACTCTACATTTCTGGGTTTCAGTCATTTTCAAGGCATTGCAGCTGCGCGAATGTGCCCGCAAAAAGATTCGCAAACTAGTGACTGACTGATGCTGTACACCAAGGCAGCACATGGGGCCGACCGGGCTACCACCATCTCCATGCCCAATGATCGAGTCGACGGGCCCATCTCGGCTGAGTTTTGCCCATGTTTGACTCAACTGTTTCACACTCTCTCACCCATGAAAAACTGCAGACATCTCCACCAGAAATATATAGATGAACTAATGTGTAATAAATCCATAAAATATATCCATAAATCCATAAAATATCATAAAATATCCATAAATCCATAAAATATCCATAAATCCATAAATATCCATAAAATATGTATGTATAAATATCATGAAATATCCGTATAAATCCGAGGTCTAAGAGCCATATTCACCATGCCTCGGTTGCACCATGCCCGCCTGCAGTCAGCCTAAATCTGTGAACGCCGAATGCATCGTGGCTTGGAATGGCTAGCCGGATCGACGACAGAACATCGATGGTCGACAAAAAGAATGCCACCTCTGCAATCAGCCAACCCAGACGTTGAAGCGAAGTCTTTCACTTGGCCTCAGGTGCCTCCTCCTTCTTTTCTTCCTTCTTTTCCTCCTCCTTCTCTTCCTTCTTTTCTTCCTTCTTTTCTTCCTCCTTTTCTTCCTTGGCCTCTTCTTTCCTTGTCTTAAAATAGTTGCAGCGGATGCCAAACACTCAGAAATCATCAGCTAGGATGGCTACTCAGCACAAGGGCACGACAGGGTGTGTATTGAGCTCAATGACCTGACATGTGCGACAAAAACAGTGGTGAACTGGTTTCGCCTGTCTAGTAACATTAGCAACTCTAGCAGAAATCGGTCAAGTCACCAGGATGTCTGCAATCCCCCACTGCATTTTCGCATGCTAACCCGAAGACTGGGAAGGTTTGAAAGTGGGATCCCATTTCATAGAATGCAAATACATATCATACAATCAGATCCCATTCCAGTTGGCAAGTGGGTAATAAGATGTAATAAGCATAAAGCCAGTGAAGAATCATGAAATTCATAAAGTAATATTACCATCTGGTTATGATTTAACAGTTCCGCCATGGAAAGATCCACCCATTTTTAATAGGTAAACATAGGTAAACCATCTATTTCTATTGGGGCCATCGAAAAACCATGGCGAACTGTTCAACTTTGGCTGCGGCTTCCTGGGATGATCCATTTATTTTTCCGGTAAATTTTGACATAGCGAACTGGAAAGATCCACCATTCTTGATGGGCGAATTCCACTATTTCTATGATTTTCTATGTGCCATTCTCAATAGCGAACTGGAACAAATTACCAGAGGCTACCTTTGTAGATCATTGATCTAGGCAAACCATGGCAAACCAGTGGTTTTCTACATCTACGTAAACGTTTACCCGAAGTTGATTATAGTTGATCATGATAAATCTGGTGTTTACTCCAAATTCCATCCCCCATGCGTACACTTAGCTACCCCCTGAATCCGTAAATGGTCAAAAAAATGTGCAAATCCTCTACATCCACCATGGTTTCTGGGGGTGTTTAACATGAACTGGGGGAAGGGGTTGGTTGATCCTGGATATTCCTGGATGAACATGACTTGTCATGACTTGTCCCCGGGCTTGGCGAAGTTGAGCTTCTTCTCTTCCTCGGTTTCAGCCTTTTTCTCTTCAGGTTTCTCCTGGCGAAATCCCCAGAAGTTCCTGCCATGGGCCTGCCGTGGATAATTGAAACATCTTGAAACTCACGATTCTGGATAGATTCATATGATTCATATGATTCATATGATTATGAATAGCCCACTTCACCTGAACACTTCAGCCATGTTGGGAAAGTTGCCCAAAATCCTAAGCATCATTTCAGTTGTATCCAAATGATTTGTGGATGATACCCCTAGATCCCAATACATCCAAATGATACCACCATGTTTGTTGCTTAAATTCTCATTAAAATGATGCGTATCTCTCCATATCATGGATGTCATGGTAACCCCTGGCCCTAGCCCAATGGACCCAATATGACCCAATGACTGACCTTAGCACCCTTTGGCTCTTCCTTCTTCGCCCCTGGCGGTTGAACTCGGTAATTTACACCAGTGTCCGAGTTCAAGCATGGCTTGCGAAAATTTGGAACTCCACCATTTCTTACTACACATGGGGAAATTCCATGTCAAAACGCTGGAAAAAATATGTTGAGCTTCAGATTGGCCCAAGAAGGGGGAAAAAAAAACGCTGGAAATCCCATGTCAAAACGCTGGAACATGTCCCGGAAATCCTCATCTTTCGAAGAAAAAAACAAGCCCCGATTTTCCAAGATGTTCCCAGGCCTGCTGCCTTGGCCTGGGGTTTCTTGTCACCTGCGAGCTGAGCCAGCGGATCCGGAGGCTTAGCACAACTTGGGATGGGAACATGGGGATACCATGGAATATCCAGGATGCCAACATATGCCAACAAGTTACCATAGTTCAATGCAATCAATGATATAATATGATATAATATATATTAGCATGCAAACAGCAGCCAGTCTGAAAACGAGTTTCGATAGGGTAGCGACCCCTTTGACCATTGGAGTCCCTCGTCGCCAATAAATCCCAAAGGTTGATTTTCCACAGCATCACTTCGGAGTTGGATAACATCCCTGTTTTGTTGTTGCTTGACGTTGTTGCTGCTGAAAATTCCCATCTTCTCAGTTTGAATCATCTCCAACTGCTATAAATCATTGATATGTTAATCTTACTTCCCTTGAACTCATCAAAAATCAGATTGAAATATGTTGAAAGCATGTTGTCTCGGGATATGTTGAAATCATATGGGAAAAAAAACTATGAAATTCTTATTGAATTGATCAACATCCCCAATTCATCTCTCAGGTTCCGAACACAGCCGCCGGATCTGGGCAGATCCCGTCCTGTCTTTTCCTCCGGCTGCACGTAGGGCGGATTTTGCTCTACGGCATCCAAACATTTCTTGGCGCTAAAGTCCTCCTGGATTGAACCGCCCAAAGGTCCGGGGGAGTCTCGTCCAGTACGGGTGCTGCAAAAATGGCGATTGAACCAAGCAAAATGGAGATGTCATGGATTTAGAATGATTTAGAGCTGATTTATGGTAGCCAAGTTGGTGAACATTAAAATGAGCCAACTGTTGGTACGTTTGATAAACTGGTTCATGGGGGTTGTCAACTAATTACCATTCAATACCATTCACATATTTGGAGGCACCATTCTTGGTGAAGAGCATGACCTGAAGGCTCTCAGGCAACACAAATGGGGGAATGTCACAACCGAAAGTTGGAGTCACTCAAAAAAAACGCATACCCTCCAGCAGTCAAACGTAGCCATGGGAAATCCTCTATAAATGGAGGTTTTGAGGGGAAAACCCATCTACAACGACAGATTGTTGCCACGTTTGATCACCGGAGGGTCCAACTTATCATTCTTCGCATCAAGGAGATCTGATGGGTTACCCTCCGGTATCAGCTCCATGGCTGGAAAATCCCTCGTTTAGTTCGATGTCCCCAGCGAATTGTAAACCTCCAGCCATAGTTCGGGAACTTCCCAGTCTCATCTGACGACCGGACGGGATATGCTACGGAGCTTGTCATCTGTAACATGAAGGTGACTGCTGGGATTTTGCACCGGCAACCCACCGATCAATTAGGAGCATCATGGAGCATCAATGCCCAAGTGTGGCACCAAAAAAATCAGCACGATTTCGACTATTTTACTATTTCTTGTGCAATGTGGTGGGCACAATCAGCCCAATTTCGCCAGTTGGATTCATTTGGCGGGTATCAAAAAGCCACCCTCATAGAAGGGGGTTCTTAAAAGAAGTGCAAAAATCACAGACATTGGTCTGAGGATGTCATGATGTTGTACATATGATTGTTACTGGCTGGCATGAAGTTTGTTACAAATATTAACTATGCTGATTAGTAGTGAACAACAACAACAACAACAACAACAACAGCAGCAGCAACAACAACAATGGTTGGATTTAAATCATGTGTTATATCCTGTCCTATTATATTCCCGTGGTATACCCGTTATCTCGTTATCCCCTTATTTGATAGGGACATTTGGGGATCACCGTCTGGTTGTTCCTTACAATTCCCAGTGCTTTCCAATGACGTCAAGATTAATGAGGTCATGATCAAATTCATCCAGATTGATAGATGTTTTTTCCCATTCTTATACCATAAAAAACATCATTAATTAAACATATTAAACCATATGTTTTTCCTGGTGAACATCCCATGGTTCCCATGTATCAAGTTGGGCCATCCAGGCATCCAACTTTCGTTTCTGGATTCGTGGGATCCCTCAACTCCCTCCTCCGTGCCATCCTCCCTGATCATGTAGAAGCAACCTCAGCTCGCGGAATCCATGATCCCCACAGAAACTTCAGCCTGATGGGTTTCTCACATGAGAAAGCGGAAGATCATGGAAGATCAAAATATATCCCATCAGGTTGCATAAATGATCATGCATGAATCTACGAACCTTTCAGAAAATCGAGTTGCGAGTTGCGAAAAAAACCCACCTCTGGGGGGAAAGCATCGAAAGCATCGTCAACACAGATGCGCGGTTTGCAATGGTGGACTCACCATTCCAATGTGGAAGATCATTTCCGAAACCAGGTTTTCCACATCGTAAACGTTTACCCCAGGACCGCTAACCTTGGCAATTCGGGACTTGCTCCTTTTTGTTGTCGTCTTTAGACTTTAGACATGTCCGAAACTGCCAAGCACAAGCCCATTGAAATATATTGAAATCATATAACCACTGTGTGGTGTGCAACTGAACACCCAAGTTGGTCAAAGCGGGTCTGGCCCTAGGCTCTGTCCACCATAGGGTCCACCATGGGTCCATGTCAACCCCAGTGATTTCTACATCCCCACAGGGATCCAGATCTTGCATCCCATCCCCTGTCGTCAATAATCTGCATGCCTGATGAATTTCCCGGCCCAAAATGCTCATGTTTCCCAGCTATCATTGTGATTCCATGCGATATGACCTGATCAAAAGCCCAGGACCTGGGCCGATTCAGCGTCTGCACAGCCCATGCGGCCGAAGGGACGGCTGTCACCATGCGAACTTCGAGCCACTTTGATGCCAACTAAGCCCTTGCTCTTGTCTGGCGGGCAAGGTGAGCGGATTCCAGGAATGAGTAGAGCCGCTATGCGCGCTATGGATCGCTATGGTCGATGGAGCCACCCATGTTAGCCAGCATATTACATCTTGAAAAAACTCGTTTCTTGGGTCACCTAAAACCACCTAAAACCTACCTGAAAAGACAGACCCATAGGACCTGGTTCCCGGACTTTTTTGGTTGCCCGGGGCCCAGCCTGGGCTTGGGTGGAACTCCAAAAGGCTCTTAATCAGTTTGAAGTCGCTGCCATCAGGTTTCCTGACTGCTGCCGCGATCCCCAAGACGCTTAAAAATCAGCAAAATCACTGGGGAATGATGGGAAAATTCAGAGCATGTCTCTGAAACCATCCTCACGTTGACCGGGAATGGCCAGCACTGGGCATGGCGTTCCCAATAAAAACATTGACCTCTTGGACATCTAAGAACGATCAACCTACTAAACCAAGGTCTACTTGTTTGATAAGTTTGGCTGGACCCTGGCTTCACTGAGCCCAGTCTCAACTGCTCTCCATCGCTGCGCGAATTCAGGATTTCCTGACGATGGCCGCTCTGGTTTCCGATCATTTCTTCCAACTTTCCACTGGCAGCCTTTGATTGGTGTGAACCCCTTGTAAAGTCAAACTTCTAGTGGACTACATGCAATAGAAGCCATCTACTCGCAAAAAAAACACATAATTATTATATAATATAAGTGCATTCGGCAGCCCAATCAGTCGCTCGAAGCAGGGGTCATGTCTTGGTATGGCCATGGTCTGTTGCTTCATCTACCCATGGCCAATCTTAGTCTTAGACACCCTGCACAAATACATATTTATATGTATACAATCATACCCATCCTGTATAAATACATACATACTGTACAATAATAGTATACGTATGTATGTGCATTTGTGTCTATATTGCGTATATATATATATACACATTATATATATAATTATGTATGTTCTTATTTAGCTGGTTGGTAAATCCCCGTTCCAAGATTGGTCCTGAAGCCTCCCTCTCTTCACGCCCATTTTTCAGAACTTGCGCGGATTGGCAGCTTCTTTGGCTATCCCCATGGAATCCCCTCTGTGCAATCGCCGAAATATGGTGCCTCCTTATGTGCAGCTGTTGACCCATCGACCCATCCCTATTTTTGGGTGAAAAACCATGGGAAATGGTCTTTCGATGTTTTTTAAGGGGTTGAAGCCATTTGCTGGACCAATCAGCCGTCCTCAGGACGCCAGAGGATGCCAGAGCCCCATTTGCGCCATTTGCACATCCAAATTTGCCATGCGGCGTTACAAAACCAGACTGGGGGGTTCTTATTGGATTTAACCATGATTTAACCATATCTAGTCGTGAAATGTCGTGAATGCATGGAATAACTATAAATCATGATAAATCTCCGGGTGGAATCTGCGTCCATCTTCGAAATTGGCAGCCTGGCATCCAACTCTTCGCGTTTTCCGGCTATCCTATCCGAAGCGGGTCAAGCCGCGAAGCCGCCAAGCCATCCGTATCAACCAGCAAGGGACTGGCCGATGTTCTATGAACTCATCCATGAACCCAAGATTGGTTTGATTCACCTAGAAACTCTGATTCAGTATTGGGTCTATTCATTTTGGTGCCCCTTTTTGGGGAATATTATGTGTTATATATATATATATACAATGCTATACATATATATATATATGACAAATATGTTATATATAATTATAATATATATATATGTATATATACAAATATAAATCAAATATTATATATAAATATGTCTGTGTGTGTTTTCTTTTTTAGAGGAAACAGAATCATTCATGGCTTGAAAATCACCATTGCCTGCCTGACCATATAGATCACATAGACATTCGACTGACATTATATAATGTGGTTTTAAGAAAAATAAAAACTACCCATGACTGGGAAGGATAAACATACCACCTATATATAAAAATGGTGACGACTGGGGGATGCCTCATGGCATAGTTTACTAACATTATGGATGATAAAACCAATGGCTGGTTAGATCACCAGAGGCGTGTTTTTTTGGCGCCATCTCCATGATCAAACAGCCTTGCCGACATTACTAAAATTGGGATGAGTTCCGGTTGAAACCTCCAAAACATCACAAAATCATACATAAATAAGACATGCACATAGCTATGGTAAATTCAGACATATTCTGTATAAACATTCAATAAGACATTCACAATAATATCTATAAATGTGGCACATCCATTCACCATACATTCACCATACATGTTTCAATCTTCACCACATCGCCGGCTTCACAGGATCAGGCGACACTCGCGACCCATCTGACCCTCCACCATGGAGGCAAGCGAGCCATCCATTCGACCCATGGGCACCAACGGGGGAGCCGAAGTGATCACTGTCCCATCTCCTAGGCCTGCGAAGAACTCCCTTTTCGCAGCAAAAAACCATCAAGGGGTTCTCATGAAGCCATGGCTTTTTGAATGTTTTAATGGAATGAAAATTCCTTCAAAACTAGTTACAATATATATATATAAGCCATCCAATAGACATGTGAATGTTTTGGTTGACTCATGTTGAATCATGTTGAGCCCCTTGTTTTGCCCAAAATGTGGGGCTTTTTTTTGGGGGGGGGGGAACCATGAATGACCTCATCTCACCCCCCGCCTTTCTCGTTCTGAGTGCTGGGTCTTGGAGGGCACCTCGGGTCCTCCCACAACCTGATGGCAGACTGCTAGCCATGCTGGATTCGTTTCCCCATTTCCAACATTCATGGCGCATAAACTCGTAGAAACCCATGAAACCAAAAAAAAAAACTTTAAAACCATTAGAAACCTAATTCAAAACCATTAGGAACCATTATAAACCATGGTAAACAATCATAAACCACTATAAACCATTAACACCATGTTTAATACCATGACCATAAACCGTCATAAACCCTTGCAATCTCCAGACCATGTCCAATTTGCCAACGGGTCGCAGGGTGGGATGAAGCACGTCTGCAGGTGTCTCTGCAGTGGCATCGTAGTAGGTTTTCAGCAACCTACCGAAGCCACCGAGGTCTGCTGTGGTGAAACACCACGGTTTTCCCCCGGAAAAACATATGGAAAATATGGTGCTTCAGCTTGTGGATTAATATGGAATCATTTGGATTGGGATTATGGCATGGGATATTATAGTATAGTAATGGGAAGTAGTTTTTTTCTGAATGTCCTAGTTCTTCACCTCGCCCAACTCTTGGGGATACTTCATCTCCAAATCAGCGTTGTTTTACAAGCACCTGGACGGTTCTGCAGGGCAGAACTCAATTCCAACGGTAACCGTTTAACCCATCCCCTTCATGGAATCTACCATGGAATCGTTCCATGGCAGATCTTTGAATGTTGATAATATATGTACCCTCTGGTAATTTAACATAACTATGGAAAGATCCACCATTTTTAATGGGAAAATCCACTATTTCTATGGCCATTTTCAATAGCTATGTTAGTTTACCAGAGGGTATATGATCGTATTATGTTATGTTATCTGGTTATATGATGTTATATGTGAATTTATCACCACCCACCAGAGGAAAAAGAAACATTTCTCTGAAAATAGGCTAGCCTCCAATTCTCACTGTTTATCATGTTGATCATTTTCCCTCTCGACGTGGCCATGTGTTGGGGAGTTTGAGCTTCTTAATGAGGTACACTATCCTGGTAAACCATGACCGGGGGTCATGTTTAATCATGTTTCATCATCCCACATCGGGGCATACTGCGGCATACCCAATCATGAACCCCAATTATATAGGGATGGTATATTTTTGGGTTCACCACATTAAATACTTCGACAATATCATCCACGGATTGTGAATAGTTTATGAGTCATTGATGATGCTGATACATAAACATGAAAACTCCTATCTATCAACCTCTTCCACTGGCTTCGGCGGAAGGATCCCTTCTGCGAAGCTTCCGCAGCCTGCTACTGCAGCACAGTGCACTTTTTTGAGCATAAGTCCGTAAATGACCGCAGTGTCAAAACCCAGAAACTCATAGAAACTCAAATAGGCATGGGTCAAAACCCTGGTACTACCGGTTATCACCAAATCCCTATCATTTATATTCAATTTATCTATGCATAAAAAATGGATCTTCCCCAGTTTAGATCCAGGCGGCCTCCCCATCATCGACCAAGGCGCTGGGGCACCGGCAGGGAGCTGTGCAGCTTCTTCCGCCACGGAGCTTCCAGGATGGGCACCGCCATGCGCAAGCGGAAGCGCAGCTTCAGCTCGGCCAGGCGTGCCATCACGTCCGCGAGGTAGGCTTCCTGGCAGAGCGCCGGCCAAGGGATGGGCCCCTTGGGATGGGCCCCTTGGGGCGCAAAAAAAAATGAAGAAATTGCGGTTTAAGCAACCCAAAATGGTGATATCACCACGAAAAATTGCGATTTAAGCTGCAGATGTAGTGGGGTGTTCACTGCAAGCCAGTTTAGAGAACCTTGGGATGATCCAGGTCCTTCAACTGGGTGCCAAATAAGCAACCCAGCTATGAATGAAATCACCCCAGTTTAAGGATGTTGGAATATGGTGAACTGAAATATTGGAAAAGTCAAACCCAATGAAGAATTGAACCTAATGGAGGTGGAGTGGGGATCCGTTCCAACAAGAAGAACCTACTGGATCTTTCTGGTGATTTCTTCAAAAACAACACATGGTCGTTGATTCTGGAGGTTTTCAAGTGAGGATTTCATCAAGATTCATTGGCGAACTCAACCAACAAAACACTGGATTCAACTTGATTTCCTGTCCCGTCCAGAGGTGCCCCTCCAAAAAAGCCCACAGCCCCGTCCGTAAAGGGCGGGTTGATACACACCACCGAGTTGACGGGAAGATGGTCGATGACCTGGAAAAACATGGGTGTAGACACCATGGTGTCTTAATGTGTCTCACCATGGTGACCATATGTTACCATCCAATATCCAATATGTATAGAGAGAGAGGGAGAGACCACTTCACTTGATTTATTTTGCTTTAAAAAAAGTCAATCACCTTCTGAACCGTGATTCAAACATCAAGGAATCAATAGAAATCATTGTGAAATCATGATTTCAACACATTCTCACTGAGGTTTTACAGTCCTGGTTTCCCAAAACGCCGATCGCCCCAACAGCTCCACTGAAATCAGCTGGGTCACCGTTGGGTAAGAGCCGATGGAGCCAAAACGCCACTCCACGTGTGGCCATTTGCCTTGAAGCGAAACCGCCCAAAAAAAGCACAGGGGGTGGTTCGATGTCCTCCCCATGATGATTTTCTCTAGGTTGAACATATGTATGGTGATTTAGGAAACATAGTGATGTTTACCAGAAAACCATACTCTATGTGATGATTATTTAAACATCGTGTTCGAACATCTTGGTAAATTCTAGTTTTTCTTGGAAAATGTGCCACCCAAGTAAATAATAACGAAGCCACCATCTTCAACCCCAACCCGAACCCCTACAAAGTGGTGCCCAATAATTAGCTGAGTTGATTTAGATCATGGTGTCTAATTATTATCTATTGTTTTTTCTCTAATTATACAAGTTGAAAGGTCCACCCTGAATGGTGTACCAGTGTTAATGACGGAGATACCGGGCCAAAACCTAACTTGCAACTGTAGAACCTCATTAATATCTTTATATATAGTTATCTTTTCAATCTATTTATTTGTTTATCTAAATACATCAATAATACATCCATCAATTGCAGTACTGTAGATGTGTGTAGATTCGTGTTCCTTGATTTTCCATCAAACATGTCGTTTGTTCCCAGCTTGGATTGCCACGCATGGCACATTTTTTCATAGCCCCCAGTATGAGACTCCAATCCCAGAAGAGATCTGATAGGAGGGATCGATTGCCACCCAACGGCACAACCGCCCATTCACTGCCCATAACAGTTACAGTTAGCTGCATCCAAAAAAAAAATGGTCATCCTTGCCCTGGAATCTGGAATGGCTATAAGATGGAAATATCCAAAATCGTCACGAAAGTGGTACGATCTTTGAAACTTCCGTCCACTTCAGCATGAGTTAAGTCGGTGCAGTCCCCAAGTCCAGGATTTCACCATCTTGCCATAGATGGGTGGTTTGTGTTTGCCATCCCCCGTCATGGTACTTGCAATTCCCCGGAATTCTGGACCATCCCCACGAAGTGAGATGAAATAAGGCTGATTATAAACCACTTACTGGAGTGAACCATCTAACGAATCTAACTATTTCGTGATATTCACATGAATATCCCCCTCTAACTAGTTATATCACCATGAAAATCCCAAAAAAAATGTGGCTAAAACAATCATAAACCATCAAATCAATCACCATAATTTTAGAGTTGCTATAAATGGCTATAAAATGCTATAAACCATTCCCATGGCTGGTTTTATGGCATGGTTTACCCTGGTTTTTCCACCATGGCTGCGACCCCCAAGGCTGTTGGAAAGCCGCGGCGCTGGAGAAGTGGCCGTTGGGCACCGCCGCGTTCAGCGGCGAGGCGAAGAGCTCGAAGTCGCAGTGCCGGCGAATCACCGGGTCCAGGCCCAGGTGCACCCCGTTGCGACGATGGCCTTCCAATGGATATGGATGGATTTTCCATAGAAAACTGGGGCGTGATCTTCCGGATGGCACTCGTAAAAGGTTACAGGTTTACCTGGGGGGGGGGCATTTTTCGGCCAAAACCTCCTGTTTTTGATAGGTCGTGACGCTCGCCTTCAAAAAACACTGTAAAAAACAGTACGGAAGACACCTGTTCGTGAACGCGCCCGTCCAAAATCGGCAAGCGAAAAGTGAAAAAAACCTGTGTTTTTCAACTTTTTGACCTCAATTTTTTGGTTTGCAACATCTTTTTTTGCGGTTCCGCAGGTGGCCGGGCCCGGAGGCGGATTTTTGAGTTTTTGGACCCGTTTTCGGACTGATTTTCGTCGTTTTGTGATAGCAGAAACACTGGTTTTTACAGTGTTTTTCTGTTTTCTGCATGCTTGACGGCTAGCTTCAAAACTTCCAAAAACCTCGTAAATTACGCTGTTTTATGTTACGGTGTGAATGAAAACATCGTAAATACCAGTGTTTTTTGACGTTGGTTAAAAAAACACTGTAAATTACAGTGTTTTTGGCCACCTGACCCTCAAAAACCATGGTATTTGCAGTGGTTTCTGCTTCTCACCGCGCAAAAACACTGTAAATAACAGCAATTTCGCCGTTTTTTCATGTTTTTCGTTATTTTTTGAACTGCGTTGGTCCGCTATACATGGCTATCAAATTCTTCGCGTTTTTTTTTCCGACAATCAGTACTTTCGGATGTTTTTGGTCTCAGGCAGTTACGAGCGGCTGCCCAACGATGCGGTGCGGGCGGTTGCCGTCGCGAAGCGACGTGAATATGGTGATGTTCCATAGTTATATTGATGGACATGATATATATATATGTGTGTGTGTAATCCCCCTTTGGGTTAAGTAAAAAGGATGGGTGTCCTCATTCTTTAGTGGACCGGGGGGGGCTAGAAGTGGAACATCTAAAGAATGGAACCCCAATCTCTATAGAATGGAACCCCGAGGGTCCTACAAACAGAGGCATGTCTATAAAATGGAGGACCAGGTGATTGGCTTGAAAAGTGCTTAATTTCATTTGTTCCCCCTTTTGTTTCCCCTAGGAAATGGTGGACCGAGTTGTTGTAAAATTATGTGAACATTTTGTTTGGTTTGCAGTGCCTGGGGATACCATTCTTTAGTAGTTGTCTGGATATTCTTGATCGACCTTGAAAACGTTCCTGGTGCCCTTTCAGTATATATACAGTAAATATTATGGTACAGTTACTTAGATCCATGAACGATTCTTCCGGGGTCGGCAGCAGGGGCGGCAGCCCTTAAATCCGGCCAGGGGCCCCCTGGCCGTGTCCTTGCCGTACGGCAGTTCTCTCCTCTCCGTAGGAGAGAGGGGCCGCCGCCCCAGCCGCAGACACCTTTGCCCGCCAAAAACCCCCGCGTTTTACGGTGTTTTGTGCTCTTCCCACTTTTTCCCATTTTTCGGATCTGGTGGTTTAAGATGGGTCAACATGGGCCAACATAGGCCTCAAGATGGGCCAACATAGGCCTCAAGATGGGCCAACATAGCCCCAAGATGGGCCAACATAGCCCCAAGATGGGCCAACATAGCTCCAAGATGGGCCAACATAGCCCCAAGATGGGCAAACATAGCCCCCAAGATGGGCCAACATAGCCCCAAGATAGGCCGCCGACCCTCAAAATATCCTGCGTTTTACAGTGTTTTTTTGCTGTTCCCATTTTTCGGATCTTTTGGCTCCGCACGGGTCAACATGGGCCAACATAGGCCTCAAGATCGGCCGACAAAGGCCTCAAGATCGGCCCACATAGCCTTCAAGATAGGCCAACATAGCCCCAAGCTGGGTCAACATAGCTCCAAGCTGAGCCCACATTGCCCGCAAGATAGGCCAACATAGGCCAACAGATGGGCCAACATAGTTGGGCCCCTGCCCCTGACCTCGCGGTGGGGTGCGCGTGTCGACAGAAACCCCTGTAATTTACAGTGTTTTTTGGCCCTGTGACATTCAACATGTTTTTGCACTAACATCGCGCACGATCGCCCAACATAGCCCCAAGATGCCCCAACATAGCCCCAAGATGCCTCAACATCGGCCCACGATGGCCCCAACATAGGCGAACATTGCCCCAAGATGGGCGCAACATGGGCCCAAGATGGGCTAACATAGGCCCAAGATGAGCAAACATAGCCCCAAGATGGGCGCAACATGGGCCCAAAGATGGGCTAACATCGGACCAAGATGGCACAAAATGGGCCCAACAACCAACAACCAACAACCAACCACCAACAACCAACCAGCCACCAACAACCAACAACCACAACAACGACCACAACCACAACCACAACCACAACCACAACCACCGCAACAACAACAACAACAACAAGAAGAAGCAGGTCAACATAGTTGGGCCCCTGGCCGGCTGTCGCGCGTAAGCGCTTAAATAATATGTCAGTGTATGTCAGTGTTTCCGCACGTTTTTTCTATCAAATGCAGGGCCCCAGCGCATACCCCTTGTCATTGAACCAGTGGGCTCTAAAAAATGGAGGTCCCCAGGGCATACCCCTTGATGTCCCTACCAGTGAGCTCTAAAAAATGGAGCTTCGTTTTTTTTGGAAACGCACAACTGGTGTCTAAAGAATGGGACATTGTAAATGTAGAGGTGGTCCCAGATGATAACCCGGAACTCTAGAAAATGGAACCCCGCACTTCCACCAGATCAGGTCAAATAGCGACCAATATGCCTCTAAAGAACGCATTTGGTAAAAGATGGGCAACCCATAAAATCCAGCTCTCTAAGAAATGGGGTGCCCAGGGTCACCATTTCCTAGAGGAAATTCCAAGGGGGATTATATGTATATATAATACTGGTTGGTGGTTGAGCCTACCCCTCTGAAAAATATATGAGTTCGTCAGTTGGGATGATAAAATTCCCAATATCTGGAAAAATAAAATTCATGTTCCAAACCACCAATCAGTATGTATGTATGCATGTTTGTATAGTTATACGGCTAATTCATGGTAATTCTCAATCATCACCCAGAATTGCCTGTAATTACCCACAACACCCCCCCAAAAAAAAAAACTATATCCATAAGCTGTTTCTATCTGGAAGTTGGGCCAACACCATCCCACGAGATCCGTTGGGGTTTTCTGCACCGAGGGGCTCAGAGGATTGTCAAAGACACTGTACAGCGCCAATAACCTGGGACCATGAAGACTCGACTTCTCTGAAACTTGGGCATACCATGGCATACCGGCATATCCCTGAGTTAATTACATAAGATTTCAAGAATTACATTGGAACAATTCTGAGAAACAAGAAGTTTGGTGGTGCCCTTTGTTTCGTTGTCGGAGATGTCGGCTTCTTAAAGGATGACCACTTAGATCCATTGGATCCATCCATTCCGTGGTGAAATCCCAATGTTAAGAATGACCCCCAGCGCCCCAAGACAGCCTCGCAATTTCCAAGGGTTTGCTGCTTTGGTCTTTTGGAGCAAAGACCCATCCTTGGGGAGCGCCGCAACGCGGTTTGGCTGCACAAAAAAACACGACTTTCTCTCCGCAGTCATTGCACCACCTTCTCGGGTGTTCCGCATGTGTCTTGTTCATTTACTTTACACATGCCTTTCTGGTTACAAACAGAGAGGTTCTATCTATAGGGAGTAACCCTAAGATGGCATATAAGTTTGGAACCTATACCTGTCTCTTTTATCTCATCTCATCGTGTCATCGTACCGTGAAATTTCCTCTCAGGTCCAGCTAAAAGGGTCCAGCTATCTGTCGAACACATCGCCCACCGTGGCAGTATCCGAGCCCCCCTTGTGGGCCCCCCTTGTGCGTCGCTCCGGACATCGCCGAGCATCTGGAGTCTAAGGCTTGGACGTCCCGGGAGCGGCAGCTGATTTTGTGGCGCCCCACCCAAATTTCCGAGTCGCCGCTCCTGGGCAGCGGAGTAAGCTGTTTTTGAGGATCCAAAAATGCCGATTTCACCAGCAGAAAACGGTGATTCATACGTATAACTACTAGTAGCACAAATGGTGATTTTCCACCATGTTGTGTTTTTTTTGGAGGTTCCGTTTCAGTCTTGTTACTACAGAAGGATCAGTGGTGGTTGAAGTGGCAGTGTGTGCCGAACGTGTAAGAACTACAACTGATGAAAATGGAGGTCTACCACTAACTACAACTGATGTTCACGTCGGGTGCGAACTCCGTTCCAACAATGAACAGCCCGCAAAACGTCTTTAGGGGTCCAATTTAGGGGTTCGTCATTCGGGGGTGACGTTATTTACAGCATGTTCATGCATGTTCAATATCTACTTATCTGTCTATCTATCTAATCTAAGCTAATCTACTCTAATCGTCTGCTCTAAACTAAGCCAATCTACATTAATCTACTCCAATCTAATCTACTCCAATCTAATCTAATCTAGTCTAGTCTAATCTTATCTATCTATCTACCCAAAATATATCTCTCTCTCTCTCTTGTGGCTAAATCCTAGTTCCCGCACCAACAGCTGGAATTCACCAATAATTTGAATCATCATCGATGGTCCCCATGTTGGCTTTTTCAGCCAGTTGGAATGCCCCATCATCATGGCCAAATGTTCATTTTTAGTATCTCTTATGGCCTGTGTAATTCCCATGTATGTATATATATATATATATGTATGTATGTATGTATGTATGTATGTACGTACGTATATATGTATATATATATACATATACATGCGGAGAGCCAAAGAAGCGACCCCGAGTCGGGGATGGCTTCAATCGCATCAGTCTGGTAAGCCTGGCTTCAATCTGACTTGTGGTTACCACACCACAGATGACTGTTCTATCAATCCCATCCCCCCAAAATTTAAACACCCAGAAATCATGGTTTGATAGGTGATTGACAGGGGTTCCACCATGCAATGAGGCTGTTGAATATTGGAATTTGGAGCTAAACGTACAATATGTATGGAGTATTTATGGCAAATTGATGGAATATTTATGGGGTCTTCCTGAAAAAATGAGGGATGACAGCAATCACTCCACTGATCTCCCACATCTTTTCCACCCAGGCGCCAGCTCACCCGCTGCGACAAAACTTCGTGCGGGATACGGCTGATCCTCGGCGCGTGGTCAGACCTGTCTTCTGGGGCTTCCAGCGCTTTGCCCTATAGCTCGAAACTGACCATCTAGGATTAAAACCGCAATTCAATATATCAAATATCTGCAGTTCAAGTATATGACTTCGGCTGGGATTGACTTTAACATGATGTAATTCAACCACTTTTTAAACATGATCTACCCTCCGGAGTCATCAAACATGGCTGGAAAATGCCCCGTTTATGGATGATCTCCCCCTTCGAGAGTTGCGGCATTTCCCAGCCACGTTTGATGAATCCGGAGGGTACTGATCCATATATATATATATATGTATATATATATACACGTGTGTGTGTGTACTTATACATATAGATATATAATGATATGTACAGCATATATATATAATATATATATATATATATATATATATATGTATGTACACACTGACACGCATATCCCATGATGACCCCTATTAACCCATATAAAACCATGTGTTTGAATATGTTTACAACCATGGGATATAAAGCAACATGATTGAGACCAGTCTAAAACCAGGGTGTTGCCGAAAACCACCAAGACGCCGCTGGATGATGCTCTTGCGGGTGGCTTCCGGCACCTTCAAAGTCTGCCACAAAGGGCTCTCCAAGGAGGGGATCATGTAATCGCCTAGAGCCCAAGTCGAGCACCGGATTGGTGAGACATGATCCCGATCACTTTCATCAGAAATGTTACGAACGAGAAAAAGGAATTTAAACAAATAAATATATATATATATTATTATATTATATTATATATTATATTATAATACATATATATATATATATATGGCATTTCACTCCAAAAAAAATCCAAGAGATGAGGACTCGACGCCTCTCCAGATCAGTTTTCCTCTCAAAAAATGCCTTTCAGAAATGCCAGGTTTCCCTGGTTTTCCTAGCCCTTGTCCCTTCGATCACATGCTCTCAACGCTCCTCTGGGGTTCGGATGTAGGTCGTGATCCATGAGGATGTGCGTTAGTCGCTCCTGCACGACAGGAGTTCCTGCCATGTTGGAATAGTATGGTTACCCTCTGGTAATTTAACATAGCTATGGAAAATCACCATTTTTAATGGGTAAATCCACTATAAATCACCATTTTCAATAGCTATGTTAGTTTACCAGAGGGTAATGTTCTCCGCTGAGGTCTATGGAGTGAATCCCGTGATGGACGCGCGTCATTGGGCGCGGATCAACAAGACAGAACATCCCAATTGATCGAAGTCTCGTTCGTGTCACAAATCCACCAGTATCCCGGTACCCCCAGTATACATTTGTCCAGTTTTTGTTTGGAAGCTGGTACATATTCATAAGCTAAATCTCCCCGATAATTCTGTTTTACTTGGAATAATTGCGGTAAACCTAATTTCTACACCATGCCCAATTTACCATAGATCCCATTTTTCATGTTTTTTTTTCAACGTGGATCACCCCGGGAAGCTCATCCCAGTGGTTGTGAACAGCTACGAATAGAGTTGATCAAGCAGCTGATAGGACAGTGGTAAACCCAATAAGTCATCCCCAAAATCACCATTTTTATGGCATAAACATGCATTAACCGTCCCCACATGGGAGTTGCTGATGGCATTCGACCACATTCTGGCCTTAGTTTCCCCATAGCTTCCCATGAAATGCCAAAATGATCTTGGTGAAGTCACCATGACTCAATGACCAAAGTTGTGGGATTCCGGTTCTGGAAACCAGATGATGTGGCAACTTGGTGGGCACCATTTTCCCATGGTCTTTCCCATGGGAAAAACTTCACTTCGGAGCTCCCGCGGGGCCGTCAAAGTCCTGCGGCTCGCTTCGCGGTCCGATCATCTGTCGGATGTCCAGCAGCGCCGCCACCCGCGCTCCGTCCCAGAGGACGTCTCTCGGCAGGTCCCCGGGCAGCCATGGCTCCTCCGGAGCACCGTTCCTGGGTGAAAAAAGACGGTGAAAACCATAGGAAAATGATGGAAAATGGTGACTTCACCAAGAAAAATTGGGAAGTTCATGGGAAATTATAGGATAATCATCTGTAAATGCTAGTTTTGGAGGTGCAGTTGGGGTGACTTCCATGGGATTCTGAGCTTCATAACTTGGGATAAAACTCTGAAACTATGGTGAAATAGATCCACTTAGAAGTGGAACTGCGCCCGCAAGTGCCATGTGTGGCAGAGAAAGACATGAGTTCCTCCATGATTTTTCAGACTGGGACAATTTTCAGCTGATTGAATCTTACCCTCTGGTAATTTAACATAGCTATTGAATTGAACATTGCCAGTTTATTTGATTTACCTATCAAAAATGGTGATGTTCAATAGCTATGTTAGTTTACCAGAGGGTAAGCACAATACAAAGGGAGTGGTTTAAGAGGAACATCCAACGGAAAATTGATTTTACCCAAATAATTATGTTTTTTTTGGGGGGGTTAGCGTAATTATATACAAATACGGGGTTTTACTAATTTTACATATACATGTTTGTATATACATATGTGCGTGTATACACAATTATATGCACATAAGTTTGAACAACACTTCTGGGACACGAAGAATTGTTTTTTTTTGTGGCTTCCAACGGTTTGCCCTGCAGCTGGGCGTGGGGACATAAGCACAATGAGGACATGAAGAAAGCAGTAATGGGAGGGTTCAACGCCAAAAATGCCTGATGTACAAATACCAAAGATTACCAAAGTAAGTTGAACTCAATGAACTTAACTACTAAGACAAAGAATGATAGAAACAAACAGGACAGGCATGTGGTTTTAAGCAACTGGAATAAAAACATAGGCAACGTAAATCGTAGATTTTAACATAAATCGCGATGAATCTGCTCAAACGTAGCAACAGAATGCAAAAGGGAAATATATAACAATGTTACCATAGTTCAAACAAATAACGAATTACTGGGAAACCAATGCATCCGTAAATGAGGGGCTTCCAATGGCCGGATGATGGTTCCCTTGAAGAAATTTCTACTCCCACTCTTTTCGTAGATGGAAAAGTATTCAGCACGTGACCTTCAAGGCCGGGTGTCTCAAATCTGATGATGTGATGTTTGACATTTCACAAAACAAGACATGCACAGAAACTCGCAACAATGGGCCCCATCACAGCAACTTTGGGAGCCTTCACCGGGTACTTGGCCGCCAAGGTGCAAGAGTCACGGGAAGGACACCGGATGATCCTCCTCATCCCTGGCGGATGAACTCTGTCAATGGATTGGTTTAAGGGAAAATCTACAGGAAACCCATGGATTTTCCTATGAATGATTGTTGTTTCCTGTAATTTTTCCCTTAAACCAATCCAATGAGCCTGGGGCTCACATGTATCGCAATCTATCTGTATCCAATGCAAATCAATATAACCTTTCTTCATCCATAGAATTCCGGCGGTGAATTGCCCGAAAGAAATGGCCACCATGGCTGGGAAGAAGTGTGATTTTGAAGGCAATGATACCACTTCTGAATTTTCCCCAGTCATCAACCTGTGTCAGCTGTCATAACCATGTAGAAAAACAGTGTAGCAAAACATAGCCAAAGCCAATAGTGAAACCAACAAGCTTCAGTGGTAACCCCAACAACGGCAACGTTTTAGTTTTACAAATCTTTCTGAAGCGTGCTGCAAAGCCAAGCGCTGGAAACCCTACCTTCTCCAGAACCTTCTCCGGATCCCTGTTGAACCTGACCCGCTGCGCCAAAGCCTTCCAGACCTTCTCCGGAACCTTCTCCGGAACCCTGTTGAACCTGACTTGGCTTTGCACCAAGGCTTCCTGGAACCTTCTCCGGAACCGAACCTGACCTGGCATGCACCAAAGCCTCCCAAACCTTCTCCGGAACCTTCGGAACCTTCTCTGGAACCTCGTTGAACCTGACCCGGCGCCTGCACCGGTGCACACAGGAACTATTCTGGGCTGAAGACCCCATTAGCTTACGCTGTTGGGGTAAAAACAAAAGCCGGCACCTGTTTTGAAATAAAGAAAAAAGTCCCTAAAGGTCCGAGAGAAAGAAAAACGTCAAAACAATAACCAATAATCCTCAAAATGTCACCAAAATCAGAAAAAAAAACGCAAGAATCACATGAAATAGTTTACAATAAAAACATCATAACAATTTTATACAATTTTAACATAGTGATAAACATTAGAAATCAACAAATGACAATAATATTTAATGTGGTTTTCAATGGTGATGAATCGTGATGATTATGCCTATTCATGGTGTTCACTACAATATGCGGGCTACCATAAGCAAAAACACTAGGTGCCCCCTCAAAATAATGTAGAAAAATGAATCAGATGTGTTTTTAGTTAGGAGGCACTTCAAAATATTTTTTCAAAAACGCTATAGCCCACCTCAAAATAATTTCCTTTGACACCACCCACCCCCTCAAAATAATTTCTGAGAGGTTGCAAATAAAATATTTGGTGGTGGTTCCACTATTGCTCTCAAACAATTCCCTTACTTCAAAATATTATTGAAATCATTTCGAGGTGGTGGAAGATGGTGAGGGATGATAGAAAAAACCAGTAGAACCACCTCGAAATAATAACCAACAAAATCTAATGCCGTCTGATGCCGCCTGGCAAGGCAGCAGCGCAAGCGTGGAAATTAAAAAAAATGGTGGCACCACAAATCAAATAAATCATCTCTAAACCGACCCCCTTTCACACCAAACAATTATTTTGGGGTGGGGGTACTACTAGACCACCCCAGGAAACCAATTAACCTAACCTGGCAAAACTCAACTTCCCGTGGAATAGGTCAAAAATACCAAATTGACCCAAACTGTCGCAAAGAACCAACCATGAGAACCTAATTATTTTCGGGTGGTGGCACTACTGAACCACTTATTATCGACTTTTGGACAAAGAAATCTGAATCGACTCCTTTCTCCCCAATAAATTATTTTGGGGGCGGGGGTACCAGTAGACCACCCCATGAAATCAATAGCCTAACCTAGTAAAATTATTCTATACAGCTGGAACTCTGTGAAATAATTTCCCCTGTCCAACTGAGAAATTATTTTGGGGTGCCTTCAGTTGTTTGCCTAAAGTTATTTCAAGGTGTTTCAACTTCTGTAGGTGGAAAAATATGTTGCCTCATCATCGGGTTACGGGTGCATAAATTATTTTGCTATGATTCTTGTTAGCCGACGTCAACATAAAAATTA